CTTAACAATGTCTTTGTATTACAAGGTAATATAAAAAAAACAACAGTAAAATGGACATTCTAAAACCCAGGGACCTGATGGCAATATTGCACCAGTACTGATATTAACAGACCCATTCATGTTTTTTTTAACTTTCATCATGGATCAGTAAGTGAAAATCTGTTGACATTGCTGAAAAGAAAGCCTAAAAATAGTAAAATTGCCAAGTTTGAGAGTGATTTGTTTAAAAAAAAGATATAGCTCCGCAAAGTCACAAAATTCTACAAGCATTTGTAAGATGGAGGGGAGCAACTTACAACCCCCCCCCCTTCCTGTCCCCCATACAGAGGTCTGTTACGTTTTGCAACTTTAAGAAGCTGTATCTTTGCTTGCTTTAGATGTATCACTTTCAAACTTGGCACGTTTACCAGGGTTAAATTGCTCATTTTAGCGGTGGTGACGGATTTTTACCACATGATCTCCATCAAAACTTGAAGAAAACCGTGGAAGGGTTAAATTCTTCTGGTATTTTTTTGTCATAATCACACTGTTAGTATTGAACAAGGAAATAGCTTACATCTTTGTCAAAGCCATACATCTGCTGTGCAATTTTCTGATGTTTGTGTAACCACAGCATCTCCTGAAGATCTTCCTCTGTCAGTGGTGCTTCATCATCCTCATCACATGATGTATCTGAGCTGTCACTCAAAAGCACCTCCTGAAAATATGACACATGCACATAAAATTTTATATACACAGTTACTACAATCGACGACCCTATTAGTTGAGACACTTTGCCCTAAAGAGCCTCTCTGACATTTTAACAACTTAGAGGGGAAAATAAAACTTTCCCTCCCCCACCCCCTCTAGGCAATATTGTGTCGCTGTTTGATGTACCAGTAGAAAACAACAAACACCCCAACTTTGAATGGAGAGGAGAGGGGAGGGGTGTGGATTGTATTGTTCTCCAAAGTTAACCTATTTGTAATAACCTCATTGTTTGTAGGTCTCTAATCATGTAAAAGTCCATCCAGTCAAAACATTTTGACATCAAAAAGCTATGAGACGTAATTCAGGAAACCCATCCTTTTTGTTGCCAGAAGCCTAGCAGTTTCAACACTCAGCAGCGTGGCTAAGTGGTCAGCCATCAGACTCACAATCCAGTGGTAAAAGGTTCAAGTCCCACTCAGGCCACTTACTTGATTTTTTCTTGGTCATCCAACTTCAAATCCTTAGCCATGCTTTTAAATAGCCAACTGGTTGCTTCCTGCCAGTTGGGGTTTTTAATCCACTTTTGATGTATTTGAATTATTTGTTTCTAAGTATTTGAGTGTAGTGACTGTAAACTAGCTGGATAAGCTAAGTGCACCTTCCACTACAAAAACAAGCCTTTAAACATTTTTTTCAACTTTGTACAGAATTACTTGTGAGCAACTCTTGCGTAGTAGATAAGATATAAGAGCCAGAAAAAGTATTGCACCTCAAGGATGAGATATTTTTTTGCCACAAAATGTTTTCCAGGGTACAGGTACATCACCATTTTGGACAATGACCACTTGTATTTGTGTTCTATACATAAATACATGTGAGCTTAGTGACCAAATTTCCTGAAGACATCTTTTAACTGAGATGGGGGGTTTGTTCATAAACTTAGTGCTTCTGTTTCTTTTTTTTACAAAACAAAACAAAAAATGAATGAATTATTATTACCTTCAGCCATCTCCTATCTTTTTTCACTTTGGCAAAGTTGTACAGTCTTGTTTTGTCAATTCGGAGCTCTGGACAAAACATATGCAAAAGAAAACAATACTGGTTTGAAATATACTCCCAGAGGTACTTCCTGCAAATACCTTAATAAACCATAGGTATCCCCCATAAAATTCGTGCTACTGAAGTATCTATGTTTGAGATAGTAACTTATATCATTCACAAGGATGGGGGCGATTTATCAGGATATCAGCCTGATGTTTGATAGCCTGACAAAACAGACAACATTTCATGATGCCACCATTGGTTTCCCGCATGAAATGACATCTGAGGAATGAGTTGAGAAATTCACTACTGGTAATGTGTCACTACCCAGATTTGGGTAGTGCTTCTGATTGGTTATGCCAAGAGGGACATTTGCTACGATCAATCAGAAGCACTAACTAGATCTGGTTAGCGATGTGTCATCAGTATGGAATTTCTGTACTCACTGCTCATGCATCATTTTGCAGGGAGACCGGGGGAAGTGTCACAAAATGTTGGTTCTTTTCTCAGGCTAGAGATGTCACAGATATTAATCAGTAACTGCATCTATGGGGGTACGCTTGACTGTAAACAGCAGTTGGGATATATCTTAACTTACACTGTAGCAAGGTGTGCTAGTCCTTCCCCCGGAAGGTACATATCAACCCAACACATACACTGTACACTCCCTGACCCTTCCTATCCTAGACACAGTATAAAATCAAAACATTGTGCTTCTGCTTCATTTTTACAAAGAGGCCAACTCACCATCACGACTCAAGGATCCATTTATCATCAAGCCATTTTTGTCCCCATTTAAAAGGCTTTCACCTTTGGCAGGAGCTTCAGCATCATTCTCGCTTAGTTCACTATCATCTTCACTACAGCAGAACAACATAAAGATTGCTCACAATTCCTGGCTAGAAAAGTTATCCTCTTTTTAATATGCAGTTAAAGTATGGCAAAAATAGCAACTTGAAAGGTCAGGATTGGTGAATGCAAAAAACATAAGTTAGTCGTTAAATAAAATTCAAGTGTAATTCTCTATGTCTGTAATAAGGGTTAAGAGACAAAGAAAACTGAGAAGCACACTAGGATAAAACTATTTTAATCGGAATTTATTTTCAACTATGAGATCAATTTGCCACCATAAAAAGATGCTATGATGTGCTCTTTGATAGCACCATTCACTCTGACAAAAGGCCTTGTGCTTAAAGGGTCAGGTTTTCAAATTTCTTAAAGTGATAAACTGACTTTATCAATTTGTTGTTTCCTTCCCTCACTCACACGGCACCATAGTTTCTTTTGAAAATAACCCAGCACCTTTATCTTAAGTTGCTTCTGCTGATCAAGCTTTCCTCTACACATTTTCTTTGTCTCTCCAAAATCCACACAGTTCTCTTAGGATAGACACTGTTTTGTAAACACTCCCTCTCCCTCCCCCACTTCCTTTGCCATCAAGAGTTTTCTTCATGTACCAGAATCCTATCACTTTCAGCATTGATAACAAAATAATATAAAAACTGTGATCTCTTAGTGTATCACCATCGGAGGTGCTTGTGCTGACGTACACTTTACCTCTGCTTATGTTTCATAAAAAATAACCCTTTAAAAAAAAGTACCTTTAATATACTACACTGTATCACGTTTAATTAATCGACTATGCACAGCTGACGCAACTTTCTGATATAGCCCAGTAAAAATAAATAAATTTGCGATGCGATTACCTGATATTAGACAAGAAAGGATCCGTAAATACACTCTCTAAGTAACTGAGAAATGGATCCAAGCGTAAAGCTTTTTCCAGATGCTGGACATACAGTGGTGCTGCCAGAGCTGATGACTGGGGGGATGCCATGGAAACAGGCACTTTGGAACCCTGAAAATGGGGAAATCAGCAAGCAAAATATTACTTTAGGGCAAAGGCGAGCTTTTGCTGGAGGCGATGACAACACGATCACCTTGTTCGAATAACCGGCAGCTTTCGCTTCCGACGGTGAAACGTGCGAGCTAAGAGTGGTAAACGTGTCCCCAAAATGTTGATATAGTGGGACAAGAAGAGAAATTATTAGCCTAATCTGGGTGAAAAGAACTGCAATTTCCGCCATTAAAACGGGTATTTTCAATTACCACACTTAAAGTTACGACACAAAGGAAAGTAAACGATTCTTTTCAAGAAAGCCGTTCAGCGAAAGCTAAAACGTAAAGAAAGCTTAACGTACGGAAACCAAAAGAAAAATCGGGAGAAACATGTCTCAGATCGAAGGTGCCACTAAACAACGCTCACCTGTGGTCACCTGGTCTGCTCTTGCCGCATGTTCGAAGAAAGCCACCTTTGTGAAACCATATCCACCCTACTTGAAGTCGCTTTGCCGTTATGGCGGATTTGTTCCGTCGAGTTGGCAAAATGCTTGCAATGCGGCCCATGACCATCATTCCCCCTTCGCAGGGGGCCTCCGCCATTTACAATCGCGTTACTACGCATGCTTCTGGTCTATTGAAAATGAAACGGGAAGACCTGGGAACGAAAGGTCCACAGTTTCCGCAACAAACAAAGCACAGACACTGTATCCTGCCAGGAGCCGATTTCTGCATGGCAGGCGGAAGCACCGGTTTGTTTCAATAGAGCACCCCACACGAAAGAAGGCTCATCTCCCAACCTCGTCCCCGAGTCGGCTCTCCTACTTTCCTTTCGTACGTGCCTGCGCGCGTCCTCGAAATTTCTCCCTTTTAAATCTCCCTTCGCCCTAAAAGAAACCCACGGCTGTTTCAGAAGAAACCGGCATCTGCCATACAGGCTACGCCTTAGGCGTTATGATAACTTCACCTTCACCTTCCCATCACCGTCCTCCACCCGTTTCCCAAACCGCTACCACAATTTCCAACATCAACAGGCCTGTACAGGTCTGCAAATATCGTCTTTTTCATCAAAGATTAGCCTGTGTGGCAAAGAGAGGGGTTTTTCTAAACTCCTCTCCCCGTTTTTGCGCCTCTTCCACGCAGGCTATCAAAGTTAGTCACGCGTGCGTCCATCACATTAGGTCACAGCGTATCAATCCATAATTTTGGCCTCTAATTATTGATACAAGTTTAGGCGCCAAAATGAATAATTGAGCCAATCACCTTTATTCAAACTTTAGATTCATAGAACAGCTGTAGAAGCCAATACCTCTAACCAGGCGGCCTCTTTTTTCGTCCTCCGTCGTTTCAGAAACAGACTTGGTACCAATCCCATAGTACACCGAGGCGCTATTTGCCGACGTTCTTTGGCGAGGTTCCTAAGCTGTTGACTTGAGAAAAACATGGAGAGGAGGAGTAGAAATTTGTTCTGATTTCCATCTATCTTGCCACGAAACAAGACAACAAATCGGCGGTTCTTGTTTAGTGAACAGGCTCGACATTTCGTCATGACGTTTTACGACAACTATTATGAGACAGTTTTACCGGATCTTCCCTCGTACGATTTTGTTCTAGACGATAGCCCGACATGCCACCAATCTCTGAAGTACTGGACTGATCGAGCAGCTGAGGTAACCGCAAACATCACGTCTGTTTTCATGATTTGTTGTCTTGGTTTTGTGCTGTTCCACAAAAATCTTTTAACTGCGATAATATTGTGGCAAAGTATCATTGTCACGTAGTCTTAGCCAGCGGCGGTTTTTTATACGGAAACTGCGACTTGTGACTTAAGTGAAAACAGCTGTTTGTAAACTAATATAAGTTAATGACAACATCGGTTTTTTGTGGTTTTATAATTGGTCTTAAGCTATTTTCTTGAGTATTTAAACGTGATCTAGGTGCTTGGCATTGAGACAATTTGACTAAAAATAATATTGTTGGAAATCCCGGTGACGTCTTGTAATGACATTTAAAACGTTTTGACACCTGCTCCAAATCTTGGAACTAATGGCTCCCCGCTGCGAGCGAATCATACATTAGACTGTACACTGTAGGTTTTCTGAATACCTGGAGAGCTTATGCACTGCTAACTCAGTATAACTAAACTTCATGTCAGATCTTTTTCCTTTTGGCCAACTCCAGAGGATGAACCTAGATTGCACAGACAGGCCATTATACGTAGTTGTAAATAAGGCCTGGTCAAAACGTCTTGGGACACTTGAGGAAATTAGGTACAAAGACGCACTTTGCTAAATTAACTCATATTCTACCTCTAAAAAAAGCTTGGCAATGTTGTTAAAAGGGGCTATTTCTGCTGTTCCCCTCTCCCCCAAGCAGTGTTGATTGTGTTGAATAATAAAACTTGAATACATAATGTCAACACTGCACCAAGGGGGAAGGGGGGAGGGAAGATGCCTAAATTTGACAAGCTATTGCGTTAGTGTCTTAAGAGTTTTGACCAGGGTTGTAGAAAATATCAGTCTCCTTCTAGTTGTTGGTGTAGTGAAGATATTTTATATTTTTTTTAGATATTTTAAAGAGCTAAAAGTCAATTTAACTTTCTGCACATTGACGATGGAAAGAGTTTGTATCCCTTTTTCCTTTGTTGTTTTAAGTGGAAGGAGGCTAGGCTGATACTTGGTGTAAAAACCTGTAAAACTTAGGAGTGATGTAAAAAAATAATTAATGAAGATGAAGAAATGATTGTCGCAGTGAACACAATTTATGCAATTGCGTAAAGAAGCCTGAAAAAAATTCAGGACTTCAACAGGGTTTGAACCCGTGACCCAGTGTGATGCTCTACCAACTGAGCTATGAAGCCACTGACGTTGGGAGCAGGTCAATTGTGGGTTCAAGCTTCAGGCTTCTTTACGCAATTACATAAATTGCGTTCACTGCGACGATCATCTCTTCATCTTCATTTCATTTCCGCAGTTCATATATGATTTATTTCATATATCATTAACAAAATAATTATTATAAACAAGCCGCTGAAAAGTCAACATAATAGAGCCAAGGAAAATAATAGCTAGAAAACAAAGAAAAACTTCACAGGTTTTTACACCACAGAGGATATAGGTAGCTGGTAAGAGGCATTGTAGGAACTTCTGCCTTTTGTTATTTGATTGATGGTATTTTATCCTCTAGATCACCCCTGGGTTATCAAAACTCTCAAGCACAGTAGAGTCCTATTATAACACTGGCTTACAACATAGTCAGGCTGCAGTTGGGTTTGGAAGTGCTCTGTCTGATGTGGCTAAAACTCTTCAGAATGATAAAGATATAAGTGAACCTATACTAAAGGTAATAAAATATTTTTTAAAAAAGTCATCTACTGGTACTGTAAAATTTCGAAAATAAGCCCCTGGGCTTATATTTTTCAAAGGCCCTTTTTGAGGGGCTTATTTTTGGAGGGGCTTATCTTTGGAGGGAAATTTGCATTTCAAAATCGATAAGGCTAGCCTTATCGATGGAAGGAAATTTACCGTTTTTGCTTTGTTTTACTTTATATTTGAGGGCAATTTCCAAGTACAAGCCCCCGAGGGTCTTATATTTGAAGGGGGGATTTAATGGACAGTTTTTTGCGTTACAAGTTTGGGGGGCTTATTTTTGGAATTTTACAGTATTGTAATGTTGTGTTCTCTACTAATAGAAACCATGATCACTTCTCATGAACTGTTTTCAGTTTCTTCACTATTATTAATTATACTTAAGCTTTTCATTGGATCATCAAATGTCTGACAATCTTTTCTTTNGTAGAGTCCTATTATAACACTGGCTTACAACATAGTCAGGCTGCAGTTGGGTTTGGAAGTGCTCTGTCTGATGTGGCTAAAACTCTTCAGAATGATAAAGATATAAGTGAACCTATACTAAAGGTAATAAAATATTTTTTAAAAAAGTCATCTACTGGTACTGTAAAATTTCGAAAATAAGCCCCTGGGCTTATATTTTTCAAAGGCCCTTTTTGAGGGGCTTATTTTTGGAGGGGCTTATCTTTGGAGGGAAATTTGCATTTCAAAATCGATAAGGCTAGCCTTATCGATGGAAGGAAATTTACCGTTTTTGCTTTGTTTTACTTTATATTTGAGGGCAATTTCCAAGTACAAGCCCCCGAGGGTCTTATATTTGAAGGGGGGATTTAATGGACAGTTTTTTGCGTTACAAGTTTGGGGGGCTTATTTTTGGAATTTTACAGTATTGTAATGTTGTGTTCTCTACTAATAGAAACCATGATCACTTCTCATGAACTGTTTTCAGTTTCTTCACTATTATTAATTATACTTAAGCTTTTCATTGGATCATCAAATGTCTGACAATCTTTTCTTTGTTACAGTTTGCGGATATGTTTCAGCGAATTGAGTGCTACAGAGATATGTTCTTAAGTCAAACACAGATCCTAACCCTTCAGCCACTTGTAGCTTTGACTAAGGAGTTTGAAAAGGCTAAGGTAAGCTTGACTGAGCATTATCCAGTAACATAAGGTGGCATTTTAGTATTGATAAGGATTGTTTACCATACAATGTACTGTACATGTACTGTTAAGTGGACTGTTAGTAATGTTTTTGGGTGTCTTGAGCAGCTTAAGTCTTGATTTATTCTTTATTAATCTATTTATTTTTGTTGTTTACGACATATTATGTTCATGGTATGAGAATTGACATAAATTTTAATTTTACAGGATCTTCAGTCTCAAATGCAAAAAGCTCGAGATGCTTTGCATGTATCCTGGGAAAAGTTCTCCAGCGTTCCTCATCTAACTAACTTGCAGGAGGTAAGGAAATCTTAGATAAAATGTGATGGCAGATGTTGTGATTTAATTTTACCCTTGGTTTGAATTTTGTTTTCCTATGTTTTAAACTTGTTATAGTAAGTTACCATCTAAAAACAAAGGATAGAAAAACTTGAAACTGAGGATTAAAGTGAAGCATTAGTTACATAGATGTATTAAAGGTTAAATTTGATTTCTGGTGAAAATCTTCTAACCTGGGTTGGTTCTTAATTTCGTTTTTCTCCTTATATGCTGGGAGAAGTAAGAAACGAGGCTAAATCAGCCCAGGTTGAATCAAATTAAACCTGAAATGAATTTTTGTCCTGTAATATAAATACACCCAATACTTTCTATTGCATCAGTGCTTTGTCAAACTTCAGAGGTTATTGGCCCCAAACTTTACACTGTGATTTTGCTTGTCAACATCCCATGTAGGGGACAGAGATTGATCAAGCGACCTAAAGTTGATTTTGAAATTATCCTGTAACTTGTGACTTTAAATCTGTAATATAACCTATAACAAAAGAGTAATACGGTCAACTCTCGCTAAGTTGGACACCTCTGGGGCTGGTACTAAGTGTCCGTCTTGGAGAGATGTCTGTCTAATAGAGAGTCAAATAAAGAGGTTAAAGAAAGGCAGGGACCAACTCTAGGTGTCCATTATACAAAGGTGTTCGTCTTATAGAGGTGTCCGTTAGGAGAGAGTTGACTGTATCATCTACCATGAACAAGGTCCAGAAGTAACTTCTGGTCAAATAAACAGAAGCATTTCCATGCAAATACTCTAAAAAGATCATTGGTTTTTGGACTGAGACTCATGGATTCTGGTCAGTGACTCAAGATTTTTCACAATACAAATAAAATGAGTCCCACTGCTCACCATAATAGCAATCTTTGACAAAATCACTACTTCAAAATTTCCTTCCAGCCTGCTGTACTAGACAAGTTGGCTCACAGTATGCTACATGCCAGACACAATTATCACAGAATCCTGCTCAAATATGTGTCAGCTCTACGCGACATTCACACTCTGAAGAAGGTATTTGTTTAACTACAGTTTTAATCAATTACTTGATACATGTAAATGCTGCATTGTTTATTTAATTTTCCAACTTGTTGATTCATCACTTAATTATATGAGGGTATTAATTTTTCAAGGGGCAGGGGACTTATATTTACTTCTTCTCATTGGTTGATGTGAAATTTCGATAAGTCGGAGGCCAACAGATATTACCTAGAGATATATGTGTAGCAATGAACTGCTTTCTGGTCTCTCAGCTGTCTCTCATGCTTTGTCCACAGTTGATAATCATTAAGTAGCACTGACTTGGTTTTTTCCTTGCAGGTAATTATTCTTCAGAAAGTGCTGGAACACATGCTTGCCCAGTTCTCTTTCTTTAATTTTGCTTACCAGGTACAGTTTTTTAGCTCTACAATAAATAAATTGACCACTCCAGAAAATACCATATTATACCATAANAATTATCACAGAATCCTGCTCAAATATGTGTCAGCTCTACGCGACATTCACACTCTGAAGAAGGTATTTGTTTAACTACAGTTTTAATCAATTACTTGATACATGTAAATGCTGCATTGTTTATTTAATTTTCCAACTTGTTGATTCATCACTTAATTATATGAGGGTATTAATTTTTCAAGGGGCAGGGGACTTATATTTACTTCTTCTCATTGGTTGATGTGAAATTTCGATAAGTCGGAGGCCAACAGATATTACCTAGAGATATATGTGTAGCAATGAACTGCTTTCTGGTCTCTCAGCTGTCTCTCATGCTTTGTCCACAGTTGATAATCATTAAGTAGCACTGACTTGGTTTTTTCCTTGCAGGTAATTATTCTTCAGAAAGTGCTGGAACACATGCTTGCCCAGTTCTCTTTCTTTAATTTTGCTTACCAGGTACAGTTTTTTAGCTCTACAATAAATAAATTGACCACTCCAGAAAATACCATATTATACCATAATACTCCTTGTTTGTCACCCCAAATTTTGCATAAGCATTGTTTTCAGATCTCTTGGGGCCATTTTAACTCCCAAGAGGGAGTGACAAACAAAGAGCATTATGGTATGTTATGGTATTTCTGGAATGGTCAATAAGCTAGAATGGAATCTAAGGGGGAAGGAAATTTAAGATAACACAGTAGACCTTAAGGCCTGGTATTAACTTGCCATGTACCCTTATTTTCATTTATTAACCTGCACATCCTGTTATTATTATTGGGTTATCATTATCATCACCATCATTATTATTTTTGTTATTATTATTATTATTATTATTATTATTATTATTATTATTATTATTATTATTATTATTATTATTATAATTATTATTATATCTGAATTCCCTTAATGCTTGTTTTAATTCTGCAGCATCATGTGGGAAAACATTTAAATTGGTCTGCTTTTTATTTTCCTTTAAAACATAATAGTGATGTTTTTTTTTCCAATAGACTTTGAAAGACATGGAACCATATATGAATGAACTTTTTCAAGAGCTTCAAAACACTCATGCTAAACTAGAGGTGAGACTTTGTTATGCCAGTTTTATTCTAATTTCCACTTTGCCAGTTAATTGGTACACACTGCACATACGTGTCCCTTAAGACATTTTATTTTACAATTTAGTTCCTATCACTTTACATTCCCTACTTCTGAGCAAGGTTTTAGCTCGGTAGGGGCTCTCTTAGGGCACTTTCTATTTAGCAAAAAAATCAGCTTTTTCCAAAGGTTAAACCCATTGACAAAAGATGGGTGTGGGGAAGGTGGCTGGTGAAACCAGAGGGAGCCCCAAGCCAGCCTAGAAGGTAACCATGACTACTTTGGTAACTTTGGTAACCATGATAACCCTGTGAGTGGCAACCACCAGGCACCATCACACTGAGAACCTCAGTGGAGAAATGCACGGATACTTACCAAAAAAACATCCAAAGGGTTGGGGGCAAAAACAGGTAAAGCTACTGCACACAAAGGCAATGTTAACAAAATGATTGACTTCTGCGAAAGCGCTGTAAAATTACTTTAGTTAAAGCTCCAGTAAAGCCCAAGACCGCCCCACATACGATTTGTGGTGGAGACTGCAGGCCAGCATTGTATCATGTTTAACCTTGCCTTAATTACATTTAGCCACATGTTTTTGCTAAAAACCACCTCCTTCGTGTTTACTTATTAGGATTTGACTGATCTGGCTGAATATACAGTTTTGATCAAAAGTGATGGGAATGGTCTGGCTGGTCCGTTCTTTTAGATGGAAAACACCCTTAGGTTCCCATACAGTTTTCTGTGTAAAAAAATCTTGATGTGGTTAAGAACTGTCGAACTTGCTGCACTAGAATTAAATTCAATCCAAATTTGATCACTAATCAGACAGTAAACAGTGGTGTTTTGCCTGGCGAAACTACAGCCACTGATGTCATCATTGGTTATTATGTAATGTTCGTGGACTGTCACTCACCAAGGGCTAGGATTTTCCCCAGCTCCTATAATCATGACCCGTGGCTGCTTTCACAGGAAAGCAAGAGAAAAACAAAACCACAGTTCTTTGAATGTCCTTCAGTTTTATTCCCCACCTCCTATAACTGCATACACCCAGCACTTTAAAATCGTAGAAACTGCCCTGATTTTTGGAAAAATTTTTTTTGGAGTGTTAGATTAGGAGTATGAGTTTAAAACTTGTGATTGCCTGTGTGCCAGCCAACCAATGTGGTAATGTTGATGATGGTGATATGATGATAATTGTGATGGTGATGATGATGATCATGATGATGACAAACTATGAGGATGATGAGGAAGATGATGATGATGACAGTGATAGAAGTAAAACTAACATTTCACTCATCACAGGACAAACTCCAGGAAGATGAGGATGTTCAAGCAGCAAGTGAAGCTAGCATTCTTACTCAGTATCAGAAAGATGCACAGTCTTTTGCCGAGCCACAGACAACTGTTCTTGGGTAATACTATATGCAATGTGCTGTATGAATTTCTGATGTCCTTGCAGTGTACATGTATCTACGTAGATCATATAAATTTTTTCAAGTCTGTAGGCAGATCAGCAAGCAAGGTGTGTAAACCTATCAATGTTGACCAAACAGGTTATTTCATTGCCAGTTATGGAGGCATCGACAGTTACAACATTTCAAGGCATTATGCTTCACCATTTGAATGCCAACTTTTTCATCTTTTTTCTGCTAGTTTTTGGGGAAAAAATGTGAAAATAAATTTTGGCTTGACACTCACAAAATTTAATTTGTCTTATTCACGCCGCATGCACTTTGGATGTCCCTAAGACCGTACACTTTTCGTAAAAATTGTTTCTTTTTTTCCTTTAATTATTTGTTTGAGGATCTTGTACTTATGTGATCCAATGATTTCATGCTTATTAGCCTAAGGTGATGCAGCAGATTTTTTGTCAGATGACAATGGATTCAATCTGAGTCACACGCACATGCTCTATTTTTACAGTTCAGCAACCCTCGGTCATTCTGTTAATGCAGTGAATGCGCAGGCGGGCAAGTTCTTTAACAAGATTGGTGATTTGTTTCAAGGAAGCACTGCAGGTTTGTAGCCAAAATGATGCATTATAGATTACTGTTGGCATACTTTAGTTTATTGTGTCTGAGTTATTAACCAGCATCAAATTTAAAATTTTTATTTTACCCTCAGGTTCCAAAAAATCTAGCAAGGATGTTCATCGCCAGGTACACATGAGTTTTTGCATTCTTTTTATTTCCTTAAATGAAGTTTACTTTGTGATTTAAGCATGGTGAAATTTCATCATCATAGTGCATACTCAAGAAGTACTCACAGCTTGAATTGGCTTGCACCCAGTGCAAGATTTTTCTTCTCAGTTATTTTGGACCTCGTTAGAATTGCCTGAAACAGTTGTTGAAGTCTTCTTCATGAATCTATTATTCATTCAATTAACTTACATTGTGCTGGGCCCATCACTTAAACATAGCTCACCTTAACCAATGATTTAAACAATCAGTACACCTTCAAATATGTTTAAATGTGATTTATTTCAAGTATAGCAAGTGATTACTAGCCCGCACAATGTGCCTTCATGATGCTGCTAGCAGCAAAGGGATATTTAAAAAAAAAAGATGAGCCAAACTTAGTCGCCCTCACAGCTGTTTAAGTGTTGTAATGCAACACTCCTTCTCCAACCAACTCAACATGGTTGCTTTTGATAAATTTGCAAGAAAATTCCAAGGTGTCTTCTAAAAAAAGAATAATGTTTTTACCAAAATGAATCATTCCATAGGATTCAGAATGGGAAGTGATTAACAAGCCCTCAGAGACATCTTCCCCACAAGTCAACAGAAAAGATCAAACGTCATCATCTTCACATAGTAAAGCTGAACCACCCACCAGCCTACCATCTTCACCATCTAAGAAGAAGGAAGGCTCTTCAGCAACTTCTGATGGTATGGTATTTGCTCCATATAAGATAGAAAACTATTAAACCCATCTCAGAATGGGATGTAAATAACAAAATCTACTTACCTACATGTGATGACAGATTTTTTGTGGGTGTGAATTTGTTTTTTTAGCCACTTTACAAAGAAAGGAACAACTGATTGAATCCTTGCTTTATTTTTTTCTAGATGTTCCTCAAGAAAAAGTCATTAAAGTTATACCTGATGATCTACTCAGTCCAAGCTCCGAAGTTGGCCCATCCAACATAACCAGTAAACAGCCCAATACAGACACTTCAAGACCTATCCAGTGAGAACATTATGATCTTACGTTATAGCATTTTGCGGGGCAATTGCTTTGGATGATCAAATGCAAAACACGACTGTCACTAGAATTTCAAGGAGGCAGGGAAGCAGCTAGGGGTTTCATTTGGTTTTATTTTTCTTCTTTTCATTTCTGTGAAAGTTGCCAGGGGTTATGGTACATTCCTTTTAGCTGGGGAAATCCCCAGCCCCTAGCTCTTAATGGCAGCCTTAGGGAAATCTCTAAAAAGGATTCAACATACTAAATTGGCTAAAATCTAAATAATTTAAACTTAATTCAAAATAGCTTTTTGTTGTGACAAATGTTGAGCACTGCCATGTGCAAAATTTACTTGCATTCAATAATGTAAGTAATTATTCTGTTTTACAACCTTCCTTTCAGAATTATAGCAACAGGAGAGGGAACCTTGGCTATTGACAAAATCACTACTTCAAAATTTCCTTCCAGCCTGCTGTACTAGACAAGTTGGCTCACAGTATGCTACATGCCAGACACAATTATCACAGAATCCTGCTCAAATATGTGTCAGCTCTACGCGACATTCACACTCTGAAGAAGGTATTTGTTTAACTACAGTTTTAATAAATCACTTGGTACATGTAAACGCTGCTGTGTTAATTTAATTTCCCAACTTGTTGATTCATCACCTAATTGTATAAGGGTAGTAATTTTTCAAGGGCTGGGGACTTATATTTACTTCTTCTCATTGGTTGATGTGAAATTCCAATAAGTCGGAGGCCGACAGATATTGTGTAGATATATACGTGTATCAATGAACTGCTTTCTGGTCTCTCAGCTGTCTCTCATGCTTTGTCCACAGTTGATGATCATTATAAGTAAGACTGATTCGTTTTTTTCCTTGCAGGTAATTATTCTTCAGAAAGTCTTGGAACACATGCTTGCCCAGTTCTCTTTCTTTAATTTTGCTTACCAGGTACAGTTTTTTAGCCCTACAATAAATAAATTGACCACTCCAGAAAGTACCATAATACTCCTTGTTTGTCACCCCAAATTTTGCATAAGCATTGTTTTCAGTTTCTCTTGGGGCCATTTTAACTCGCAAGAGAAACTGAAGACAATGCTTATGCAAAATTTTGGAGTGACAAACAAAGAGCATTATGGTATGTTATGGTATTTCTGTAGAGGGTGGTCAATTAGCTGGAATGGAATCTAAGGGGGAAGGAAATTTAAGATAACACAGTAGGCCTTTAGGCCTGGTATTAACTTGCAGTGTGCCCTTATTTTTATTTATTAACCTGCACATAACATCCATTATTATTATTGTTATCATCATCATCATCATCACCATCACCATCACCATCACCATCACCATCACCATCACCATCACCATCACCATCACCATCACCATCACCATCACCATCACCATCACCATCACCATCACCATCACCATCACCATACAAGCAACTGCGTATATAAGTCACGAGGTGCCCCTGCTAGAGACATCGGGCCACCCCTAATATAGCTGGGGAAACAGCTGACCAGCATTGCTTCGAGGTTAACTTTGCCTAAATTACATTTAGCCACATTTTAGCATACAATGTACTGTACATACTGTTAAGTGGACTGTTAGTAATGTCTTTGGTTGTCTTGAGCAGCTTAAATTTTGATTTATTTGTTATTAATCTATTTATTTTTGTTGTTTACCACATATTATGTTCATGGTATGAGAACTGACATAAATTTTAATTTTACAGGATCTTCAGTCTCAAATGCAAAAAGCTCGAGATGCTTTGCATGTATCCTGGGAAAAGTTCTCCAGCGTTCCTCATCTAACTAACTTGCAGGAGGTAAGGAAATCTTACATAAAATTTGATGGCAGATGTTGTGATTTAATTTTACCCTTGGTTTAATTTTGTTTTCCTATGTTTTAAACTTGTTATTGTAAATTAATTACCATCTAAAAACAAAGGAAAGAAAAACTTAAAACTAAGGATTAAAGTGACGTATTAGTTACATATATATGTTAAAGGTTAAATTTGATTTCTGGTGAAAATCTTCTAACCTGGGTTGATTGTTAATAATTTTCTTTTTTCTTCTTATGGGCTTGGAGAAGTAAGAAATAAGGCTAAATCAACCCAGGTTGAATCAAAATAAAGCTGAAATGAAATTTGTCCTGTAATATAAATACACTCAATACTTTCTATTGCATCAGTGCTTTGTCAAACTTTAGAGGTTATTGGCCCCAAACTTTACACTGTGATTTTGCTTGTCAACGTCCCATGTAGGGGACAGAGATTGATCGAGCGACCTAAAGGTGATTTTGAAATTATCCTGTAACTTGTGACTTTAAATCTGTAATATGACCTACAACAAAAGAGTAATACAGTCAACTCTCGCTAAGTTGGACACCTCTGGGGCCGGTACTAAGTGTCCGTCTTGGAGAGATGTCTGTCTTATAGAGAGTCAAATAAAGGGGTTAAAGAAAGGCAGGGACCAACTCTAGGTGTCTGTGAAACAAAGGTGTTCGTCTTATAGAGGTGTCCGTTAGGAGACAGTTGACTGTATCATCTACCATGAACAAGGTCCAGAAGTAACTTCTGGTCAAATAACAGAAGCTTTTCTACACAAATACTCTAAAAAGATCATTGGTTTTTGTACTCGGACTCATGGATTCTGGTCAGTGACTCAAGATTTTTCACAATACAAATAAAATGAATCCCACTGCTCACCATAATAGCAATCGTTGACAAAATCACTACTTCAAAATTTCCTTCCAGCCTGCTGTACTAGACAAGTTGGCTCACAGTATGCTACATGCCAGACACAATTATCACAGAATCCTGCTCAAATATGTGTCAGCTCTACGCGACATTCACACTCTGAAGAAGGTATTTGTTTAACTACAGTTTTAATAAATCACTTGGTACATGTAAACGCTGCTGTGTTAATTTAATTTCCCAACTTGTTGATTCATCACCTAATTGTATAAGGGTAGTAATTTTTCAAGGGCTGGGGACTTATATTTACTTCTTCTCATTGGTTGATGTGAAATTCCAATAAGTCGGAGGCCGACAGATATTGTGTAGATATATACGTGTATCAATGAACTGCTTTCTGGTCTCTCAGCTGTCTCTCATGCTTTGTCCACAGTTGATGATCATTATAAGTAAGACTGATTCGTTTTTTTCCTTGCAGGTAATTATTCTTCAGAAAGTCTTGGAACACATGCTTGCCCAGTTCTCTTTCTTTAATTTTGCTTACCAGGTACAGTTTTTTAGCCCTACAATAAATAAATTGACCACTCCAGAAAGTACCATAATACTCCTTGTTTGTCACCCCAAATTTTGCATAAGCATTGTTTTCAGTTTCTCTTGGGGCCATTTTAACTCGCAAGAGAAACTGAAGACAATGCTTATGCAAAATTTTGGAGTGACAAACAAAGAGCATTATGGTATGTTATGGTATTTCTGTAGAGGGTGGTCAATTAGCTGGAATGGAATCTAAGGGGGAAGGAAATTTAAGATAACACAGTAGGCCTTTAGGCCTGGTATTAACTTGCAGTGTGCCCTTATTTTTATTTATTAACCTGCACATAACATCCATTATTATTATTGTTATCATCATCATCATCATCACCATCACCATCACCATCACCATCACCATCACCATCACCATCACCATCACCATCACCATCACCATCACCATCACCATCACCATCACCATCACCATCACCATCACCATCATCATCATCATCATTATTATTCTATCTGAATTGCCTTAATTCTTGTTTCAATTCTGCGGTATCATAGGGGAAAACATTAAAATTGGTGTTCTGCTTTTTATTTTCCTTTAAAACATAATAATTATGTTTTTTTTTTCAATAGACTTTGAAAGATATGGAACCATATATGAATGAACTTTTTCAAGAGCTTCAAAACACTCATGCTAAACTAGAGGTGAGACATTGTTATGTCAGTTTTATTCTAATTTCCACTTTGCCAGTTAATTGGTACACACTGCACATATGTGTCACTTAAAACATTTTATTTTACAATTTAGTTATGATCACTTTACATTCCCTACTTCTGAGCAAGGTTTTAGCTGGGTAGGGGTTCTCATAGGTCACTTTCTATTTAGCACAAAAATCAGCTTTTTCTGAAGGTTAAACCCATTGACAAAAGATGGGTGTGGGGAAGGTGCCTGGTGAAACTGGAGGGAGCCCCAAGCCAGCCTAGAAGGTAACCATGACAACTTTGTGAGCGGCAACCACCGGGCACCATCACACTGAGAACCTCGGTGGAGAAATGCGCAGATACTTACCAAGAAAAACATCCAAAGGGTTGAGGGCAAAAACAGCTAAAGCTACCACACACGAAGGCAATGTGAACAAAATGATTGACTTCTGTGAAAGCACTGTAAAATTACTTTAGTTAAAGCCCTGCTAAAGCCCAAGACCACCCTGCACACAATTGGTGGTGGAGACTGCCGGCCAGCATTGTCTTATGTTTAACCTTGCCTAAATTACATTTAGCTACATGTTTTTGCTACCACCTCCTTCCTGCATACTAGCTAGGATTTGACTAATCTGGCTGGATATGTAATTTTGATTAAAAGTGACGAGAATGGTCTGGCTGGTTAGTTCTTACAATTGGAAAGCGCCCAAGTTAGATTCCCATGCAGTTTTCTGTGTAAGAAAACTTTGAGGTGGCTTACAACTGTGGAACTTGCTGCACTGGAATTAAGTTCAATCCTAATTTAATTAGACAGTAAACAGTGGCAACTACAGCCACTGATGCCATCATTCAGGTTATTATGTAATGTTCATGGGCTGTCACCAATGGCTAGGATTTTCCCCAACTCCTATAATCATGACCCCTGGCTGCTTTCACAGGAAAGCAAGAGAAAAACAAACCACAGAATGTCCTTCAGTTTTATTCCCCACCTTCTATAACTGCATATACCCAGCACTTTAAAATCGTAGAAACTGCCCTGATTTTTGGAAAAAAATTTTTTTGGAGTGTTAGATTAGGAGTATGAGTTTAAAAATTGTGGTTACTTGTGTGGCAGCCAACCAATATGGTAATGTTGGTGATGGTGATATGATGATGGTGATGATGATGATGATGATGATGATGATGATGATGACAGTGATAGAAGTAAAACTAACATTTCACTCATCACAGGACAAACTCCAGGAAGATGAGGATGTTCAAGCAGCAAGTGAAGCTAGCATTCTTACTCAGTATCAGAAAGACGCACAGTCTTTTGCTGAGCCACAGACAACTGTTCTTGGGTAATACTATATGGAATGTGGTGTATGAATTTCTGATGTCCTTACAGTGTACATGTATCTAGATCATATAGATTTTTTCAAGTCTGTAGGCAGATCAGCAAGCAAGGTCTGTAAACCTATCAAAAAAGAACTTGATGTTGACCAAACAGGTTATTTCATTGCCAGCTATGGAGGCATTGACTGTCACAACATTTCAAGGCGACATGCCTCACCATTTAAATTCCAACTTTTTCATCTTGTCTCCACTAGGTTCTGGGAAAAATGTGAAAATAAATTTCAGCTTGACACTCACAAAATGTCATTTGTCTTATTCATGCTGCAGCACTGTGGATGCCCCTAAGACCATACACTTTTTGTAAAAATTGTTTTTTTTTTCCTCTAATTATTTGTTTGAGGACCTTTTACTTATGTGATCCAATGATTTCATGCTTATTAGCCTAAGGTGGTAAAGCAGATTTTTTGTCACATGACAATGGATTCAATCTGAGTCACACATACATGCTCTATTTTTACAGTTCAGCAACCCTCGGTCATTCTGTTAATGCAGTGAATGCACAGGCAGGCAAGTTCTTTAACAAGATTGGTGATTTGTTTCAAGGAAGCACTACAGGTTTGTAGCCAAAATGATGCATTATAGATTACTGTTGGCATACTTTAGTTTATTGTGTCTGAGTTATTAACTAGCATCAAATTTAAAATTTTTAATTTACCTTCAGGTTCCAAAAAATCTGGCAAGGATGTTCATCGCCAGGTACACATGAGTTTTTGCATTCTTTTTATTTCCTTAAATGAAGTTTACATTGAGATTTAAGCATGGTGAAAGTTATATATCATAGTGGATACTGAAGAAGTATTCACAGCTTGAATTGGCCTGCACCCAGTGCAAGAGTTTTCTTCTCAGTGATTTTGGACCTCATTAGAATTGCCTGAAACAGTTGATTAAAGTCTTCTTCATCTATAATTCATTCAATTAACCTACATTGTGGCGGGCCCATCACTTAAACATAGTTCAACTTAAGCAATGGTTAAAACAATCAGTAGACCTTCAAATATGTTTATATGTGGTTTATTTCAAGTATAGTAAGTGATTATATAGTCTGCACAATGTGCCTTCATGATGCTGCTAACAGCAAAGGGATAAAAAAAAGATGAGCCAAACTTAGTTGCCCTCACAGCTGTTTAAGTGTCATAAATATGCAACACTCCTTCTCCAACCAACTCAACATGGTTGCTTTTGATAAATTTGCAAGAAAATTCCAAGGTGTCCTCTTCAAAAATGAATAATGTTTTTACCAAAATGAATCATTCCATAGGATTCGGAATGGGAAGTGATTAACAAGCCCACAGAGACATCATCCCCACAAGTCAACAGAAAAGATCAAACATCATCATCTTCGCATAGTAAAGCTGAACCACCCACCAGCCTACCATCTTCTCCATCCAAGAAGAAGGAAGGCTCTTCAACAACTTCTGATGGTACAGTATGTGCTCCATATAAGATAGAAAACTAACCCATCTCAGAATGGGATGTAAATAACAAAATCTACTTACCTACATGTGATGACAGATTTTTTTGTGTGTGAATTTGTTTTTCTTAGCCACTTTTACAGAGAAAGGAATAACTGATTGAATCCTTGCTTTATTTTTCCAGATGTTCCTCAAGAAAAAGTCATTAAAGTTATACCTGATGATCTACTCAGTCCGAGCTCTGAAGTTGGCCCATCCAACATAACCAGTAAACAGCCCAATACAGACACTTCAAGACCTATCCAGTGAGAACATTATGATCTTACGTTATAGCATTTTGCAGGGCAATTGCTTTGTTTGATCAAAATAATACAAAGCACACCTGTCACTAGAATTTCAAGGAGGCAGGGAATCAAGCAGCTAGGGGTTTCATTTGGTTCTATTTTTCTTCTTTTCTTTTCTATGAAAGTTGCCAGGGGTTATGGTGCATTCCTTGTAGTTAGGGGAAATGCCCAGCCCCTAGCTCTTGATTACAGCCTAGGGGAAATCTATAAAAAGGATTCAACATACTAAATTGGCTAAAATCTAAATAATTTAAACTTAATTCAAAATTGTGAAAAAAGAATTAAAAACTAAAGTTGTATAGCTTTTTGTTGTGACAAATGTTGAGCACTGCCATGTGCAAAATTTACTTGCATTCAATAATGTAAGTAATTATTCTGTTTTACAACCTTCCTTTCAGAATTATAGCAACAGGAGAGGGAACCTTGGCTGAAACGTCTGTTGGTTTTGGGCAATGTAAGAGAGGATACTTAAGGATAAAACAGAAGGGCTTTCCCAAGTCAAGATGGCCACTACTGGTAAACAAGTCTAACTTCATCTACACCTAACTGAAATTCTGTAGAACCTTTTTGTTGCACTCCCGTGGAAGAGATTGAAAGAGAAAAAAAATGATGAATTTGCTTTAGACATGGTATTGGCCAATGATAGTAATTCGTCTACCACTTTAAAAGATTAAGAATTGCTTAAAATATGAATTGAAAGCAAATTAACAGTTCCACTTAACTGTATTGTTGAAGAAGTCTCATTTTTAAGCTCACAGACCTTTGGAGTAAGAATTTTAAGAATTTATCAAAACCTCTGAGTGGATAGGATAATTTGTGTTTCAGCAGTGTCTTGGCTAGTTTGTGACACAAGTGAAGAAACATTCATTGTAACTCATTCACATGTATTTTGATGGCATACAACGTGCAAAGAAAATAGTGTCCGATAACCTGGGGCTAGTGGATTTTGCTATCGGGCTAGTGAATTCTGTTCTTAAATTGCCTGACAGGCAAGTGAAGATTTTTGGGGTATTCAGATTACAAAAGAATGGGTAAACAATCCTGCTCGTCCAAAACTTTTTTCGGGCTAGTACATGCTAGCTACAGCTTGCCTGAAGAGCAAGCTGCAAAATTGGCTTTCTTTGCACCCTGGACCAGGTTTTTCGAAGCTAGGTTAAGATACCCCAGGGTTAGTGCGAGATTTGAATTCAAATATGAGAGCTTAAAAAGCAAATTTAGCTTAATTTCTTTGCCTACAATTTGATGATTGGATACTCTAAAAACAACAAAGAAAATTATCCGAGAAAGTGCTTTTGACAGTAAGAAAAAGAAACCCGGGTTAAAATTTAACCTCAGGTTAGCGTTAACCGGCATTCGAACAACAGGGCCCAGGGCATCTCACATTAAGAGGGCATATTTGATGTACTTTGCTGTTCTGTTAGTACTTCATTGTGGATCAAAAAGATGGCAGATTGTTAGCCCAAGGTCAAGAACAGGTCATGCCATCAGTGATGGAAAATCTGTTGCTGTGCACAGTGAAGTTGTGTGAATCATCAGATGCAGACAGGAATAACTGCTTTCAGGTACATGTAGATACTCAGAGCTGTAAAATTAGAGTTGGTTTTACTGAAACCTGTCCAGCAAATAGCTGTAATTAATTATCCTGCTCTTTCAGACTTCTAAAACAAGCCATTGTTGTTCATGTATGTGTTGCTAATAGTTACTGACAACCTTGTCGCATGTATTATTATTTTAATTCTGTTCAATAATAATAATAATAATAATAATAATAAAATATTTATATAGTGCCAATATCCTTTAAGTTCAAAAGTGCTTAACAAGAACAATAAAATAATAAGAAGAAAATTAAGAAAAAGCTTCCAATCTTAAGACTAAAATAAAAATGGTAAAAAAGTTATAAAAAAAGTTATAAAAATGCTTTTTTAAAAAGAAAAGTTTTAAGTCTGTTTTTAACATTCAGTAAGGGCTCACCTTCAATTTATTGCTACCAGAATGATATTATACTTGGCAACTTTTGTAACTACTGGTTATTAATATTTATTTCATTTTGTTTGCAGCTTATATCACCATCTAGTGAAAGAATTTTCCAAGCTGTCACTGATCAAGAAGTACAAGAGTGGGTTACAGCAATTCAGGTAACATAAGAGACTCTGAGTCCATTAGTTATTTTGTGTCAAAAAATTAATGCTGTAGAAGAGAGCTTTTACAAAGAATTCTTTCTTTTAATGGCAGTTGTTGAGGGGTGTGGCCATGTCAGGCCCCCTTTAGTTCCATTCAGGTTTAGTGGGGATTGTTTTATAAGTCTCTCCACTGAGCTGAAAATACCATGTAGCATTGCTTCAATTTTGTAGTTGGTAGGATCTAATGTCTCAGATGCTACATGCCTGTGGTTGAAATAGCAGTGGGCTACAATAGAATCCAATTGAGGAAGTATGAGAGNTAAAACAAGCCATTGTTGTTCATGTATGTGTTGCTAATAGTTACTGACAACCTTGTCGCATGTATTATTATTTTAATTCTGTTCAATAATAATAATAATAATAATAATAATAAAATATTTATATAGTGCCAATATCCTTTAAGTTCAAAAGTGCTTAACAAGAACAATAAAATAATAAGAAGAAAATTAAGAAAAAGCTTCCAATCTTAAGACTAAAATAAAAATGGTAAAAAAGTTATAAAAAAAGTTATAAAAATGCTTTTTTAAAAAGAAAAGTTTTAAGTCTGTTTTTAACATTCAGTAAGGGCTCACCTTCAATTTATTGCTACCAGAATGATATTATACTTGGCAACTTTTGTAACTACTGGTTATTAATATTTATTTCATTTTGTTTGCAGCTTATATCACCATCTAGTGAAAGAATTTTCCAAGCTGTCACTGATCAAGAAGTACAAGAGTGGGTTACAGCAATTCAGGTAACATAAGAGACTCTGAGTCCATTAGTTATTTTGTGTCAAAAAATTAATGCTGTAGAAGAGAGCTTTTACAAAGAATTCTTTCTTTTAATGGCAGTTGTTGAGGGGTGTGGCCATGTCAGGCCCCCTTTAGTTCCATTCAGGTTTAGTGGGGATTGTTTTATAAGTCTCTCCACTGAGCTGAAAATACCATGTAGCATTGCTTCAATTTTGTAGTTGGTAGGATCTAATGTCTCAGATGCTACATGCCTGTGGTTGAAATAGCAGTGGGCTACAATAGAATCCAATTGAGGAAGTATGAGAGCAAATTTTTTCCAAATCAATACTTGTTTTTCTTTAGAAAGCAACTGCTGATGCCTTAAGAAATTCTAAAGCAAAGCTACAGGTGAGTTACACGTAGACCTAAGTTGTCATAATAATAAGTAATAATTAATAATTATTATTTAATTAATTTAATAATTATAAATTAATAATAATTATTATTATTTAATTAGGATTTTTAGTGTTTGTGGTAATTATTACCATGAACACTAAAAATCCTAAGCGTGGAGGAAATTAATGTAGTAAAATAAGACGCATTGAGTAGAAAATAATGATATTTAAATCAAACAAACAAACAAGAAAAACATTTATTAATTTTGATTTACGAACTGTATTATTTTGTCCTTGAGGGTGCCATTAAGTCTTAGTCCTCCACCCTCCCTTCCTTCGGTTATTGGTTCATCTGTATGTACCAGTATCTTGCATTGGTCTCCGTAAAAGTAAGAGGTTTGAATTATTTCTCTTAAGTAACATAATTTAAGCATGTTTCATCATCATCTTTTTAAGTATACATTTATGTGAATGTAAGCCACCCAAAACTTGGCTTTAAATTTTATAATTCATTGTTACCTTTTTGTAGCATGCATATTACCTAGTGATCTCTATTTTTGTCACGAAGAAATAGGTTGCAAAAAACTGCCTTTAAAACCGATCAACATGGTCTTTTTGTTTTAGTCACTTGCGAGATCTCAAGTAGGCCTATCAACTTCTGCAGCCAATTCAAAGAAAGTGTATGTTTCAAATGCTTCCGAGAGGATAAGAAAGATTGAAGGCAATTCATACTGCGCTGACTGCTCAGCACCACGTGAGTAAACTTACTGTCAATACTGATCTATCTACTTTGTAGTTTCTCCTTAAAGAACATTAGTACAAAATTTGGCAGAACTGTTATGAGAATAATTTTAAAGATCTGATCATCAGGTAGTGGTAGTGGCATGAAGAGGCAGCCATTGTGTTGGAAGTAGCAGCATTAACTAGATACAGTTTGTTATCCCTTGTATGACTGTAAGTTCTTTTACAATAAGATTGACCACCACTGTTTTATCTTTGCTGTGTTTGTTTTGTAAATATGATACAGTATCTGTTAATATATCATGACCTTTTCATCCCTAACACTTGCTAGAGTAAAAAATTCACAAAAATTCCAAATTTCTTTTTGTAAAATCCTCACATTTAATTGTAATACTGTTCAAAAGTTCTGCAAAAGAGGTTTTATTGGAATGGTAACACCATGGGATTTTGTCCACAGATTTATAATGATCAGTCACGTCATAACTTGGTCCAAGGTTAACATAAAAGTGCATATCTAACATCAGTCATATTTGATGTTACTCTGTTTGTTGTAGGGCCAGACTGGGCAAGCATTAACTTAGGAATCTTAGTTTGTATTGAATGTTCCGGAATACATCGGAGTCTAGGAGTGCATGTATCTAAAGTGAGATCACTGACGTTAGACAGATGGGAGGAACAGACTGTTAAGGTAGCATATTTGTTTTAAATTTACTTTTTATTGAATGCAACTGATATACTCATCATCTACACGAAAAGTGGAATTTTTTGTGTTTTCATTTTCTAAAACGTGTGGTTATCTTAGCGATATATATGTCGTAGTTATTTTTTAAAAAAAAAGAATGAGTCATTGGACAGATTGTTAACATCCTCTTATTAACAGTGTATTGTCCTGTCTGGGAGCTCTTCATTTTCTCAGTTATTTATCAATCCAGGGCAACCTGGATTTCATAGATTCAAAACCTTTTGGCCACTTTCTGGTAGCTACTGGTTTATTTTAGGAGTGCAACACTAATTTGGTTCACTGAGATAGTGTGCTACTTTCAGCCAAATTTAGGGTATATGCATTATTGAATATTGGCTAAAAAAAAAGGAACAAGAAAAAAGAACAAGCCCAACATCCTGGCCCATATATTCAGCCATCCTGACCAAACAAGCTTGGTTAGAAACTTGTTGATTGTGTATTCCATTTCCTCTCTTTTTCACCAGTATATGGAGTCCCTGGGAAATACAAAAGTAAATAGAATATATGAAGGAAATCTTGGAGAATATAAAAAACCTGCAAGAGATTGTTCAAAGTAAGTTAGATTACCACATGTTTTTCTGACATAGTGTTCCCACTTGCATCTAGAAATGCACTCAATGACAAATATTTTTTCGTCCTGACAGGGAAGAGAGAAAAAAGTACATTGTCACGAAATACATAGATCAACGATTCTTCGTCCCTGAGGAAAGCACAGATAAAGAACTTCAAGAAGTTATGAAAAATAGACCGCCGGGAGAAGGGGAAGATGAGCTGTTTAACGACTCTGCAGAGGTATGATGACCAGGAACAACAACGTAGCCCCCATGCAATGCATTTATATGGAGAAAAGTTGTCATGGGAAGAAGGCGCACCCTCCTACCCAAGCTACTTTGGACGAACCAACCTTTCCTACACTTCCTTGCAAAAATTGGTGAACCATTTAAAACAGAAGCAAAAAGTTCCCTCGGCTAGAGGGTTGAACCGCCGAGTGGGTCACCCATTTGCGACGGTAGGGTCACCCTCATAGCTGGCCCAACATTTCTCCATATAAAGTAAAACACTTTGGCTGGCTCAGCTAGGAGATTTGGTGACCCCTACGAGAGACCGACAGATTGTTGCTGTCAATCTTGGTGCTGAGTATAATCTAGGATCCAGGAGGTTTCTCATATATGAATTATTAGAATGTAGAATTTTTCTTAAATCTCAACTCAGGTAAGTAAAAGACCAACTTTATTTTCTGTGACATAACCTATACTATGCTCTCATTTCTATTAGTTCCTAGATTTTCTGCAGCAGAGATCGATTCAAGGATCTAGTCCCGTTTGTTTAGTGGATGACTGCAAGGTATAAAAACCTGCTTTATTTTAAGTACTAATGTATTTAGCTCAAAGTACTAATTGAGGTACTGGTTGAAGTAATTATGACGAGTGACGCACAATAACCTAATGGTATAGGTTAGCCAAGAAGCTATCACGAATCTCTATTTTTTTAGGGAGCTTAAGCAACAACGCAGGTGACGGGCAGTGAAACATCTCTGAAATACTGAATTTGCATGGCTCCAAACTTTATCACGACTATTCTACCTCGTCCTTGTTCAAATGTGCGCGAATTTTTCTAGAGCTGAATTCCAAAGAGTTATGAAAAAGAAAGAAAATCGTTTTCTTGCATTCATGTCTTCTATAAAATGTGAAATTAGGTATTTTTTTGCATCTTAGTAGTGTAACGACGGCAAAAAAGCGTGCAGCACGTGCCAAGTTGTTGTTTTGCTTATTCTAAACCTGTTGCTTTTTTGCCATTCTTGTTGCTGTTGCCGTCATTGTTGCTCGAGCTCGTTATTGGCCTTTGAAAAGATTAAGGGTCTTTTTTGGCTTCATTTGTCTGTGTTGTTAGCTAATTTAAAAAGTTCTACACACTTAAACAATGTCCTGTTCGTGCAATTCTACCATATCGTTGTTTGACAGTTTTCGTTTTTGGTCCTCAAAATCTCAACGTGCCAGTCCTTACTTTAAATTTATGGAAGTGGCGCCTGTCAGCCGTCCCCAACCCCTCACCTTGCAGACCTCAAACATCTCAGTTTTGCCTTTCCATAACAGCAATACATGAGGTTAATACCGTTATTGTTGATGCATTGTACCAACATCACTCATGTTATTATAAGACCATCCGCAAGCATTATAATATTATTCCTCTCATTCAGATATCATTTTGATCTTGTGTTTTCTATCAGGAATGTGCGTCATCCTCAAATTGTGTTCACAAGGGACAAACAAATGGACAGTTCGCATCATCTCAGTTAATTGTCACCCCCCAGGAAGGTGAAGAAAGCGAATGTTGACTTGGAGTGGCAGTGTTGGACTATTGATATAAAAATTAATACTTATCTTCTAAATTATTTTTTGGGATTAAAACTGTGAAAGAATACTTGGAAAATATGTGAAGGTGGACGGAGAGATCCGTAGAGCAACCAAGCCTGAAACAAACTTTCCTCTGTTGCACAATAGTATTATTACCGTGATGTGAGTCATCAAATTTGAACTCACCATGCATCGTGTCAAACGAAGTGATTTCTCTCTCAGAGAGGAAACAAACCTCCAATCATGAGGCAACTACATGTATATAAGTCCCTCTCAGTGACGCATGACAGCTGTTAACTGAAATAATCCAAAAATCAAGGTGGCAGTTACACGGTGACTCTTATGAAAATGGCTCATGCTAGCTAGACCTTCCACAAAGATTTTTCTGGTCATGGGAAATTCAAGCACAAAGAAGAATTTTTTCGTTCCGTCCCTCCTCACACTTGGTTTTTGTACATTTTATTCACACTCTCTGCATATTTGGTCAACTTGTCGAGACTCATATATGTTTCAATTTGGTAGTGTTATTTTACTGTTCCCCAGAAAAAAGATATGTTTGAACACATTGTAGGTGACTATTGCTTGAAATTTATTCATTACAAGTTCAAGTATAATTTAAAAAAACAACATTTACCATACTTGTGGACAGGATCGAGCGGCAAGGAATATCGGAATTACAAAATGATTTTTTTTTTCAATTGTGGAGTAAAATCTAACGGTGCACAAACCAAGAAATGGCAAAAAAAAAATAAATAATGGGGGCAGAAGGAAAAGAGGAAAAAAAGAGGGAGATAAGAGATTAATCAATCCTTTCCCCTCTCCCCTTTCAAGCCATTTCAAACAGTGTCTGATTATGTGACATAGGTGAGTGAATTGCAATTATTGCAATATTAACCTGTAGTAATAAAAAAACTCAGTCACCATGAGTGTGTTTTAGACATAAAATGTTATTTATTTGCTTGCAGATCTAATAATTAGTTTATAATTCAAGATAATGAATGTAACATTTTACTCCATGTAAATGAGTGGGCAGTGACCATGTATGGTTGTGTAAATTATAATAAGAAGTGTTATAATAAACTGGCGGTGATATACAGTACAGTGTAAGTGTGCACTAGCACTTTGATAAAAGTGAGTGAATAACCCATTGGATGGTCTTTTTTTCGGTCAAAACCCACGGCGAAATCTTTGGTTCTAAGAGGGTTTGGTTGTTTTGTATATAGGGGACCTGATTCCAATGCCTAAGATTTTTTAAAAATGTTCCGCAGATTTCTGAAGGCGTTCCGGGCCATCTGTGAAATCAGAAATTACAATCATCAGTTCTCGCGTTGGGTGCGTTTTCTTGTGATCTACTTGTCAGATATATTTGTCAAAAATGTATCTGAAAACGGTGATACAGTGTAGCTTAATATGAAAGTCCCAGAACCCGGAAATGGAACATTCCACTGATACAACAGTAAACCATGAACTGGTTGGTCAACATCATACTACGCCTTGCTATAACAACATGTGAGCCTACACGTATTGTACTGTATAGTTGTCGCTTCAATAATGATAATGGGGGGGGGGAGGGAGGGACCACCCTGAGAACCCTGTTGAGCAAAAACACTTGTATTCTTGTTAACAAAATAATTATAACAACTGGAAGATTTTTATCTGAACAACAGGGAATTGGGGGAATTTTTATCCTTGCAGAGTGCTTTTTGACAGACTTAAAAAGAATCAGTCTCAAAATGATGTCAGTCTCAAGTAAACTTTTATTAATGGGAAGGATTTATGAATACCTTTTTTGTAAACAAGGTTCTCCTAAGAGAAGATTTTAATTTTTTTTTTACAATAAATTATACAATATTTGCTCCTCTCAATGGATGATACATGCAGTCCACCCTCTATCAACAATTCCCCTCTGCCACCTCCCCCATGCCCCAATATTACATACAAATTCTCTGGTCTGAACTCCTTACATTTCCTTATGAATTAGTTGGGAGAATTTGAAAAATTAGTGATAAAAGCCTTTCTCCTTTGGTGATCATGTCATTCTCATAATCTTTTCATCGTCTCACTGACATGCAAAAACTGTAAAAAAAAACTTTTCTTTTCTCCTTTCCTGAACTCAAACAAAGCAACTTTCCTGCAAATGGGACAATGAACTTGCTCCAGTCTCAAGAGTTGAGTTGAGAATGCAAGACAATATTTTGGGAACCCAAAGGCATGGGAGAAAAAATCCTGAGCTACAAATTACAAGAACTTTTTACAGTAAATATTCTCTAAGATTCTTGTTTTTAAATTCCAAAGCTCTTACACACCTTACAAAGAAAAATTTTCTTTCTTTGTAAAATGTTCCGCAGCTTGCCTTTACTCTAGTGTTTTTATAATTACTATTATTTTGTCCATGGCGGTGTGGTCCCCTTTATACATTTCTATGATGCATAAAAACACTCTTCAGCAAGTTCGTTAATCATAGGGTCAAGAGACATTTTTCAAGTCCACTTTGCATTTTTCTTTAAACTCAAAGGCCAGCATTCTTCCTCCACTGTATGCTGATCACAATTCATTGAGATGGGCAGTGCTGAGGAAGACACATAAAGCACTACCAAGAATTTTTCATATGCAGATTTTCAAAAGAAAGTTAGAAGGCTAGAAATGCATCATTTGTAAGCCTGCAACAATTCAATTTACATCAATAATAGTATTACAGTTTGTCTTTTTCACAGCTCTTTAAGGTTTAGATTAAAGAGAATCTTTCGGCATGCACATACTCGAGCTTTAGATGTCCAGCATCTGATACAAACCAGCTATAACAAAGTTAGAGACCATAACAGATAGGCACTTTCAGGTGCGCAGGAATTTAACATGCCTGGGTAGACTGCCGCCTGCCCAAGAGAAATGGCTAGGCTACTAAGTAGAGCTGATGATGTTGTTAATACAAGCAAGATAACCTTAAAAATTTATTATTATTATTATCAGAAAAGGACAGCAACTTGCTCCTCTACATGTACCTGTAAGCTGAATAGTATCTCTTAACCCTTTATGCCCCAGTATCCACATACAAATTCTCCAGACTGATCTCTATACATTTTTTTTTAAGAATAGTTGAGAGAATTTGGTTTAAGATCAAAGCGTTCTACCTTTGGTAATCAACTTAGCAATTCTCAGAACCTTTACTCTTGATGATCTGCTGATGTTGTTAGGAGAAAAATAGAGAGCTTTAGATTCTCAGACGAGTACGACTACGAGTACGAGATTTTCTCAATACTAAGTAGTGCACGCGCGTGAACCAGCGTCATTTTGGCGGGAAAATGTGGTAGCCATTGTCATTCTACTACGAGTTTTAACGCGAATGTCGTGGTGGCCAAAACAAGTTATCAAATGTTAGAAGTTTTATCATTTTGCGATGGGGAAAGCGCGAAACCTCCTTCAGTAAAGGTAACAGTGCTAACTTTTCTTGTGAAATATGATAAAACATACCTTTCCGGGAAGTCTATATTTTGAGAATAGGCGAAAAAAATTCAAGTCAAATCTCGTACTGGTAGCCGTTCTCGTCCTCGAATCTAAAGGTCTCTATTGATGTTGGTCAAGCAGGAGCTAAGCAGGGCTGTCACACTGCAGAGTACAGCCAACTCTCTCTTAATGGTCGGCCACCTAGGTAAGATGGCCCCTACCTTTTGTTACTCCTTTCATTTGTTTCTATAAGATGGACATCACTCCCAAATGGACACTTAGTGCTGGTCCCAACCAAGGCGGCTATATGGGACTCTATATGGGACTCTGGAAGTTGTAATTTGAACTTTATACTTGAGAAGGTATGAAAATAAACAAAATACGATCTAAATTACATTTTTTGAGAAAAAATTGCAATATTGTGTTTGTGTTGTGTGTTTTACTTGGCTTCCAAATGGCTCTAGAAGTGAAGAGACAGTAAAACACCCAACACAAACACAAATTTGAGTCCTTTTTTATCGTGAATTTTGTTCTTAAAAAATGTAATTTAGATTGTTTTTTGTTTATTTTCACATGCTGTTACAAAAGCCAAATTCCAACAAACTCTCATATAGAGTCTGGGCTGCCTGTGGTACCAAAGGTGTCTGTCTTAGAGAGTTGACTGTATATTACTATATGTAATTTATTAGAAGGTTAGGAATAAAACAGCCAAGAAATTCTTTTTGTTCTGTTTCCTTATGTTTTCAATGACAGTAGCAGATGGTCATGCCCAAATTAGACAGGAGAAATCCCCAGCCCCTAGTGACAGCCCTATTTAGGATTCCTTAATGATAATTCTCTGGTAACAGGCCATCTAAAACAATAACAGCTGAACATGAATATCCTTAAAGATCATTCACTCAGTATCACTGCTTATGAATTTCACTTTTGCACCCTCAAGATACAGTTTAAACTCACACTCAAGGTTCTCATTTGAGGTAATTGCCCACAGACATGCTGAATAATGAATGCAGTTCACAGATCGGACCACTGATGGCTGGCAATTACCCTTGCCAGCTATACAACTGAAGACTGGGTTCCACGCGATGCACGGTCTTCCAGAACAGTAAACCTGGGTTTGCCAGAGGCTCCCAACTTTGCTTCTTTCAAACCGCACATGGACAAACCCCAAAAAATCACTTGCAAGGTTATTTACTCCATCAGGGTGAAGTAGTTGATCAACAACAACAAAAGTTCTGTCGGACACACCTTGTACCAGAGGCACACCCCTACTGCTACACTGTCTGTCAAGTTCCCTCAACGATTCCGAAACTGCCTCAGTTAGATATTCACTCGGTAATTTCTCATAATTAAGTTCAAGCACTCTTGAGTTGGTTATTGATCCTTGCGCCCGGCAAATCTTGGCATGCTCACACAAGAAAACTGGCTTGTTCTCTAAATCCATTGCTGTCACACACGGAGGATAATCACAGGAATACATGTCTTTCATCTTGCTGGATGGTTCATTTTGTTGACACCACACAAAGCACCTATGATCTGGACCCACTTTGCTTCTCCGTACAGAGAATACAGTGACAAATGAGTTTGATGGAATTTGCAACTGAACAGCTTGACGTAAGAGTTTTCGGTTGCGTCTAAATGGTGGATTTGCTTCATTTAACAAAAACTTGCAATGCTTACACACCTTGGAACGACAACCAATAAGACACTGGCATTTCTGACAGGGCATTACACCTCGTCGAGTAGCATTTCCAGGAAGCATCCTGAAAGAATGTACAAACATATTAATTCTGTTCAAAATTATGTGTAAATTCATGCCTGGCAGCTTGACATTATTATTGTTATTGACAGAATGTTTATTAATCATGTGTAAATTCAACTACCTTCTCGCCTGAGAGCTTTAAAATTTATTGACAGAACTTTTTAAGCTTTCTTAAACTTGATATTTAAATTATCTGTTACCTTAGTTTGTTGGTATTTAAGGATTTTTTTTCATAGGGCCATAGGGCAGAATACAGTACAACTGTAATATTTATGCACCCTATTGAAATAAAGTGTCTTCTTTCTTAATTACTAAGACTACAGAGCGGCCAGCATTTATTATCAGTTGGTAATTAAACATGATCACCAAGTGAAGAAGAGTTGTAATTTTCAAACAAATTTCCCTGATCATTACAATAGCAAATGCATGAAGAGCAGCATTAAGATAGGCAGTTCTTCAATCCAATCATCCCAACCCAAATCTCTGCCCAATTTTCTAATCCCGATGTTTCTTTTACAAAATGTTGGATCAAATTTTTCAGCAGGTTGAAAATTTGACTGGTGCCACGTCAACGTAGGCTAGGGTGGACATTATTTTGTGCCAGTCCAACAGTGTTAGTGATACTTACAGAGAGAGATGACAGTATCACTTGCACAAAAAAGATAATTTGTCATTTCTGGGATCATAAAAGGCAAGTCTTCCTACCTGAGTTGTGATTCTGTAGACTTCACTTCACCAACAGTGTTAGCAATTTCCTCCTCTACTGCACAATCCTCACTGCGCTGAATTTCTACTGTAATAGTGCACTCATCAATAGTCTTGGGTCTTATTTTCCTGTACTTTGCTTGACTTGACAGATCATCCTCAATAACAACCTGCTTTGCTTTAATTCCCAAGGGGCTTGATGTGCTTGTGTTGGGCTCAGCATTGTCACTGGCAATGTTTAAAGAGGGTCTTGCTTTCTTACCATTCTGCTGAGCAAGATGTCCCAAAAACAAAGCAACTGAATTAGCATCATATGCATTTTCAGGAGATCCCACCGCACCAACTGCTCCTACTGAATTTCCTTTAACTTCTTTCACCTCTACATCACCAGCCTGTTCCTCTTGCTGATTAACATCTGAATTCTCTGTATCTACCTTATCAGCTTGCTCCTCAGAATCTTGTGCGACATATAAACTACTACTTTGATTTTGCACCAAAAGAGTTTGAATTAACTCCTGCAGGCTAGTGTGGTAGGTCTTCTTCCCAGCCTCAATCACACCACTGTTTTGCTGGGATGTTTCTGCTTCCATTCCCTCAATAGCATTTACACTTGACTGGGTTCCTTGTACAAAATTATCTGCTGTAACAGCCTCAACTTCTTCTGTTACATTCTTAGAAATAACATCACTGGTAGAGGACACTGACACCTCTGCAGTGTTACCAATCGGAGATGTTGCCATATCAGGTTCACTGTCCATCAGTACCATGTTCATGTCAACGTTAGATGAACTCTGTTCACTGTCATTGTTGGGTTCTTTACTTGTTTGAGATTTTCTTGCCCTTCTTTTCTGTTTGCCAGGAGAACAATACTTACACTGCTTGGCACGATTACCAATTTTGTTTGTACAGAGAGGACAGGTTTTGACACCTCTTCTTGTAGCATTGATATCCAACAATCTAAAATATTCAAGTGCAACAATGTTAGCAACAGCCATCAGCTTGTGAGGAAAAAACTCAACCAGTCCATCACACCAAAAGCTATGTCACCCAAAACAAGAGTTACAAGTGTATGTCACCTGAAATCCTGAGTTATGTTGTCTGAAATTTCATCAAGTGTTTACTGGGGTTTTCAATGACAAGCAAACACCAAAGTTCAAAAGCCAACCAACCTTGACATTAGTTGCTGACATCAATCACCTTAGCGGACCTCTCAGAAAACATAAGTTTACTTCAACAAGTTGAAGAGGTCATGGCTTGTGATATGTGATTGGTGGATTTTGATCCTTTTTATGTTTTGTTGTGCTTGAGGATTCATCGTTTGTGACCATAATTATGATTGGGCGATTCCAGAAAATATCCATACCATACCACGGACGGCTTTTAGGATTTCCGAAGGGGAGGGGGGGTTCAAGATTATGGAATTCTGAGGGCATGGGGGGTATTTACGATTGGAAATCCGAAGGCATGGGGGAATTCCACAGGTGGGATTTCTGGAGTAGAAAGTGTAGAGTGAGTTCCTTGAAAACGCTATTGTTGTGGACTATGTTACCAATCGGAGATGTTGCCATATCAGGTTCACTGTCCATCAGTACCATGTTCATGTCAACGTTAGATGAACTCTGTTCACTGTCATTGTTGGGTTCTTTACTTGTTTGAGATTTTCTTGACCTTCTTTTCTGTTTGCCAGGAGAACAATACTTACACTGCTTGGCACGATTACCAATTTTGTTTGTACAGAGAGGACAGGTTTTGACACCTCTTCTTGTGGCATTGATGTCCAGCAATCTAAAATATTCAAGTATAATAAAGTCAGCAACAGCCATCAGCTTGTGAGGAAAAAACTCAACCAGTATTTTGGTAACTGTCAAGTCGCCCAAAAGTCATCTCACCCAAAGCTATGTCACCCAAAACAAGAGTTACAAGGTTATGTCACCTGAAATCCTGAGTTATGTTGTCTGAAATTTCATCAAGTGTTTACTGGGGTTTTCAATGACAAGCAAACACCAAAGTTCAAAAGCCAACCAACCTTGACATTATTTGCTACCGTCAATCACCTTAGCAGACCTCTCAGAAAACAGAAGTTTACTTCAACAAGTTGAAGAGGTCATGGCTTGTGATATGTGATTGGTGGATTTTGATCCTTTTTGTGTTTTGTTGTGCTTGAGGATTCATCGTTTGCGACCATAATTATGATTGACAGCAGCAAAAATGCAATTGTGAATTTAGCTTTTTTATGTCACTGAAAAGCGCAGTAAGCTGAAAAAGGCAGTGTGTGTAATTTGATGAACCCTAATGAGGGAAACAAGTGCAATAACAGGAAGTGTGTCAGGATGTTAGGATGTTGTTGAACATGATAAAATGACAGGCAACATAACTCAGTTTTTCAGGCAACATAACTCCAAGCGAGATAACTTTCGGACAACTTGACCATACACCAGTGCTTTATGAGTTGAAAAAAAAACCATGTTATTTAAGGACCACATACTGAACTGAATTTCAATAAAATGTATATGTTGTAGTTATTTTTATATTTCAGGTAATTTTTATTTTCCTTTTGTTTCAACTTCATTAGCATACAATAACATACCCAAAAACAAAAGAAAATCAAAAATTGCCTGAGATAAAAAATTAACTACAACATATACAGTATGCTGTGGTTCAATTTTATCTTCGGTTTAATTTCTTTATTTTGTTTTTTGGTACGGTAATGTGTAATAATAAGTTTGAAACAAAAGAAAGCACAAATTAAAACAAGGATAAAATTGAACCACAACACATACGTTGTATCTCATATGAATTATTGACTCCAGCTCTCTAGCTAGATACAGTTGGTGTAACAGTTCAGGTTATACAGTTATCAGCTGACTTGTGAAATACTATACTGTTGCATAACTTTTAATTAGATCAACCATGTGGACTTGGCAAAGTCAAGAGCACTAGCCTGTTGATGAAATCCTTTAGTTGGATAAAAGCAAATACAGCCAATTTTACTCTTAATCTGTGCGTGCTTTTAATATTACGAGTCTGAATAAAAATCAGAAACTTAGGCAGTGTATGAAATGGGAAAATTTGCCATTACCTTCCAAAGGGACTGCCCTCACCATCACCTTCAACCAACTTCTCACTCTCGTTTCCCGAGTCTGCAGGCTTCGGCTCAATTTTACGTAATCCTTGAGCTTGTGCACCGCTAAGAAATTTCCCGGTGCTTCCCGCAGCTGCGCCAGCAGAAGATCCCGTCAACAGTTTGGTAAAAACTTCGCTTCCATTTGACGAAACAGAAGTGTTCGTAGTCAATAATTTTACGATTACCTGCTCCTCTCCACTACCTAGAATTGTGTTTTCTAGGATCAGAGTGGGATTACTGTCTTGTTCTGTGGATTGATCGCTCCACATATCTGTCATCTGGCTCAGCTGTCTTTCCTCGTCATGTAAACAATTCGCTTCCCTCAAGCTTTTCAAATATTTCCCCGGCTTTAGACTTCAAATATTAGCACCAAACGATTTCTTATATCCTCGAATGGCTGGAGAGCGATTTACAGTAAAAAATAATGGAGTACAGTCTGTTTTTCGACAGGCGCAAAGGCAAAGAGAATACAAGATGGCGGAGGATTGATTGCTTGGGAAAGCGTAACGCCAGCGATGCCTGCCGCTGATTTGACCACGTGATCCATTAACTGAGGGCCCGCGGTGCGTGCAAAGCGAAAGCGTATAACCAGGGCGCCCTCGTATAACAGGTCAGGAGGAGCGTGAATTGTTTAATTTTCATTGAGGAGTGGTCAAATAAAACAACGCCACAATTCATTATGATAAAATTTTGAATCTTTCTTCAGGGCCATGAGCTTTATAAGCCTGTCCGGAACAGTAAAGTTATGGAACACACTAACGACGTCGCATTAAATTGACTGAAGGAGGGGGCAACAAACTCTAACGTCTGCTACTGGGCAACTTGGCGTGATCTATCACTGATTTATTTTTGGGCAAACTTACTCGAACGACCTAACGTATGTCCAGTTTAAATTGTTCGTAAGTTACAGTTAAGATGTTGAACATCGTTCTTTGGTGTCCGTCAGGCGATTCTCACTTAACCTTCTTTCTTACCTTCCATTGGAAAATGGAACCTATTTTACTTTTAAAGTAAAGAACACTGCGTCCTTCTACTCTTCTACTTTAACGTTTCCTTGGAATGAAGTAAAAAGGAAGCTTAAGCAACGCTGACAGCGAAGGCAACGAGAACGGCAAAAAAGCAAAAGGTTTAGATTAGCAAAACAACAACTTTGCACTTGCATCAAGTATTTTTTATATATTTCTTTGCCGTCGTGAGATGAATACAACGTGAAAGTGCCTAAATTCACGAGTTTTGTCGAGGACGGAAATACAAGACAACAACTTTCTTTTTCTTTTCCTGAATTTTGATACAGTCCTTTAGAATTCAACTTCAAAAACATTTGCCAACATTTGACGAAGTAAACGTGATGAAATAAGCATGGTAAAGTTTGAAGCAGCGCGAATTCACTTTTTAACTGACGTTTTCGCAGCCGTCGCCGTCATTGTTATTTAAGCTCCCTAATGAAGGATACCAAGAGAAATCATCAGACACAATTCAATCGGACGAAATGTTAACCAACAAACAAGGAGGGTCAGTTTAAATAAATAATAACACGGCGTACCCTGGCTTCTTGCACATTAACTCGAGAAATCCCTACCCTTTTTATTTTTGTATTAAAATGAAGCCTGTAAAAACACCGCTTTGGGGCAGATACACCCTGTCAGGCCAATATAAGGGGTAACTCCCAAAAGCACTCGCCTACTCGAACAAATTGTATCGCATTGAGTAGCAATATAAAATCAAATCGACTGTGACAGCACTTCCTATCGGCTAAAATCATGGAAAACCGCACTACGAATACTATTGTAACTGTTGTAATCAGGTCCTTGATGTGCTGCATGGCCGACTGGCTCATCAGTACACACTATGCAAAATAACACTATTCAAATATCTCTTTCTACTTGCTTTTGAGAGGAAATACTCGTCTTTGGGTCAGTAAGTAAAGCTAAGTAAAGTAGACGTTGCCTAACTTGTAAGTGGTACTTAAACGAATTTCTAACGACCTTATGTGAAGTTGTTGAAGCTTCCGACTATATCAGGGGCACCCAACGAGAAAATAGTTCAAAACCACTTAAACATAGCATTGTTAAACGTATAGATATAGGCATATTTTTATCCCCCAAAAATTTTTCATCTGTTCGGATTTCCTAGCTGAAGTAGTGATCCGAAAAATATAGGGATCAAAACTGACCTTTTCGAAAATTTCAGCCAGAAAAAAGGCTCCCGAATATTCTATATGACCTTTTTAGGGTAAAAATCCGTTAAAAATGGGCAGTTACACCATTTTTTAGATGTTCGAAAATCCTAGGAGAGACAGGCAAGCAAGAAATTTTACAACAAATGTTCCGAAAATTCTAGATCTGAAATCGTCTTCCGAAAAGATATTTTCCGAAAATTGACGTTGGGTGCCCTTGACTATATGTCTATATATAATAGATTTTGCAAGGTACTATATGTTAATGTAAATAAATGTTGTGATATGTCAATGACACGGGAACGTCGAATTTATGATTAGGGGACAAAATCAAAGTGGGACGGGAATGTAGAGAACCGGAGCAGCCGCGAGGTTCTTTCTTCAGGTGCGTTTCCTTTGTGGATCGAATCAATACTGAGGCATATTTTCACAACACTTTGTCTTTATTTTTATCTCAGACAAGAAATTTCTATAGATCTCATATAATTTGTCAATTTATTCGTGACTGATTTGTAAGCCTGTATCTCGGATAATTGGTCGGTAGGGACTGAATAATCCGTTGCGTTGGAGCTCGTGTATGAAATTTCGGCCAAAGGGGTGAGTCGTTTAACACTGTGCTGTAAACGACCTGGAAGTTAAATTAAGCAGATAGCGTACATAAAAAAAACATGAAGATATCGAAAAAGGGAACTTACCTAACGGGCTAAGAAATAAAGGGCTCTCCATTCATTCCGGTGTAGTCAGATTTATAAAAAAAATCTGCCCACTCTCAAGGCCTGCGGATCGAAAACTTTCACGCCCAAGCCTACGCCTACGCACCGATTTCTCACGTCTTGCATGTGAAAAAATAAAAACAAAATAGCAGACACATTTTTGAAAATATATGAAATAACAAAAAAAACCCCGAAACAATGAGAGAAAAACAGCTATCAAATAACTTTACTTGCACTTGCCCCAGAACTGAAGCTGAGCACTGGAACTGAGAAGATGAGAACCCTCGGTAATCTTTTATCGGATTTTTAAACGTTTTGGGACGTCTTCGAATATGATCGGGTCCTCTGCGAAAATCCTGGCAAAGGACTAAGTATTTCATGCCTTTGCAATTGACTGAAAAAAGTAAGGTATAAAATTTTGAAAAATTATTAAAGAAAGTTATGTCTAGGGGAGGGAACGCTTATTTACTAGATTGTCCAAGGAACTGTGAAAAGAGGGCATGAGGGAGTATTCTTTGGAAATCTTGGTGAGTATGTACCATTCGACTCTCCTGAATCTTTACCCAATTTCAAACTGTTGACCTATGTTCCACACCCTTATTCGGACCTGGTCTCTGAAAGTTGGTCCGCGAAAACAGTGTAAAATTTCTCCTTGTAATATGAATGCGTTACAAAACACATTGGTGACGAGAATAAAGGACATTGGCCGTTTTTATACAAGATCGGGAGGACGCATTATCCGTCAAGACCGATAATAAGTCTATGGCCGTTTTTATACTAAAGACGCATAACCAGACGAACTACAAAATGTTTGCTCAAGTTCGTCTAAACGGACAATGCGTCCTCAGTATAAAAACGGCCATTATCATGCAGGATAAATCTAATTGTTACTTTAACAAATTCTCCCTACTGCTTTTATATGGGAAACGTATAGGGACAACAAATGAGAATCTGAATTTTGATGTTAGGGTTTTTAAAAAGGGTTAAGTAGAATTTGACACTGAAAGTTGCTGTTTATACTCTGTATTCCCATAGCCGTGTTCCCAAAACTGCCCAGAACTAATCAGACAGTGGCTCAATCTAAAACGCCTGCAACAGGCTAGGGGCGGCACATAGATTTTCCAGCAGAGTACCCTCCGGCGCTTACCCTCCACCCCTTTCCCCCTACCCCCTTAAGTAAACAACAGTCATTGAGCGCGGGCGGGGGAGTTGTGATGTCCGTTGTTGATGTTGGTTTTTTTCTTCTTTTTTCGGGCATGACTTGTACTGTGGCGTGTGCAGGCGGGGAACTGGATTTCCTTTATAAACTTGTTACAAGAACGTTTCATGTTCTCCCACATACATAACATTTCCATCTGTTTTGGTTGGGTCAAGTAACTCGGGGAGGACCTCTAGCAAGGGGTCGGGAATTTTCTCCACATAGCTGGCCAGTCGTCTATCGCTTGTGCACCTGATACATTGTTGCGCATTTTAATTTATGTATTTTGAAGTTTCAAATTTTTTTACAGCATATTTTCCATTCATAGCCAGCCCCCGCCACAACGGCGCAATATCCGATAATATTCTATTAACGCCAAACAGTAAACAGCCGTCAAATCTTCTGCGTCTTTCGTGCGGCAGGACCCAAATCACATTAAGTTTTTCCGGAGATCGTATTTCACCTTGAAGAGCATCGTTTCTTGGAATTAAAGCCAATATTCAACATGAAAAGGACAACAGCATCGGAGTGATCAAGCGTAGAAATTCGGAAAAGAAGGGCTTTTAAAATTCACTATGATTATGTGGCGAGACAGAATTCTGTAACAGTCAGTGAATAAAAACAGAAGACAGATCTCGGAGCATTGTGTGAGTGTTTGTCACCTCTGAGACTAATACTGACACTGTTTTGAGACATTCTCTTCCCTCTGATTGGTTTAAGTCGATTTAATCGCTCTTTTAATTTGTTTTGAGCTGCTGATTTGACACCACACAATCAACGTTCACGGCTATTTTAAGTCACTGCAGGGTTAAATTTCCATGGCATTCAAATGACGAGAAAGACAAAAAATTCAAAGAACGATAAATTTGAGAAACAGAGCATGAAAGAAAAGCGTCTTTGTTCGAGGTGTTTCGAAGGTTTTTAACTTTTAAGAAGACACGAAAGTTATTTGTGCTTGTAAAGGGTGGAAGCAGTGTTTAAAATGGGTTGTGTTTGTTTTTATTAAAGCCCTGACAGCTCCACTTAGTTTCTGTCTGCATTTGGATTCTAAGATCAGATGTCAAAGAACAGATCATCGCTCGCTTTGGAAAACGACGGTTTATTTCTTCCGCTCCGCTCCAGCGCAAAAAATTATCGCGTGAAAGAGACCAATACAATACGATGTAAATTTCAACGCACCTTTGATCACGAAATCTACAATTTACATTTTTGTGCATGATCCCTGGAAAGATTCGTTGCAGACGACTGTTTGTTTCACTTTCTATAAATGTATATTTTGATTGACGTTCTCACTGTAAGAGCCAATCAATGATCATGTTGCGAATGATGACGCAAATAGAGCATTTATTGGCCTCGGTAAACAAAAGAGCAAGGGTAGGATGTCTTTTTCGTCCGTTCACATCCCTAGTTTATTTAGCTCACTGTGCATTTTGCTTTCGGTGAAATATGCAAAATGCAAGACTATACCGCGAAAATTGGTTCGATTTTCTGTTCAGAAACTGCGCCTGTCCATTTCACGCCTGCCAACGTGTCTCTGGTAAAAAACCCTTCCCCCACCACGTGGTCTATGATAATTATGTTGCCATAGAAATCATTATCTTTTTGACACAAAGTTGACACACCTCTCACGTTTGCATTTTATATTCGTGTGTTATTACAGTTCAGCAAATCGGTGGAAAGCAAAAAGGCAATCGGAGTTTCGGGAACCCGTAGTTCATTTAGACTCCTCACACGGAAAACATGTCCACAGCGCTGGTGTCGGCGTTTTATGATGTAAACGACGTTCTTTATAAGGTAAGTTTCTATCGTGTCACTTTCTTTAGCGCGAAAACAATCGCGTCTATTCATTGCGCGATGTCTCTAAAGTAGAGTTCTTTGTGCGAGGTGATTAAGACCAATTTTGGATTCTCTTTGGCGCTATGATCTCACGTAAACATGTTAATCGTTTCTTGCTTTCAGAACAACAAAAACCTTGGCTTGGCCTTTGAACAGAGACAGAGGAGCGAGCGAAAACCCCTTCCTATCGGCCAACCAAGGCGACACTCTTCAGTTACAAGTTCTCGCTCGTCGCCGAATTTGATCACGCTCACTGGTTCTCCAGGCAAACGAGAGCGCTCATTGAGTTTAAGTGCCGAAGAAGAGCGTAGGCGATCGAGCTCAAACTCAAGTCGCTACAAGACAGAACTTTGCCGTCCTTTTGAGGAAAACGGAACCTGCAAATACGGCGATAAATGCCAATTCGCACACGGCGTTCATGAACTGCGCTCGCTTAGCCGCCATCCAAAGTACAAGACCGAGTTGTGCCGAACTTTTCACACCATCGGATTCTGTCCATATGGACCGAGATGCCATTTTATTCACAACGCTGAGGAGAGAAGAGCCGCCCAAATGGCGATTAGTGGTTCCAGAATATCGCCACCTTCGCCACTGATCGGTCCACCTTCTCCGCCGCTCACCGAACCAAGTTCGCCATTGCCAAGCTCACTAACCCCTCCTTCTCCTTCACCACTGTCATTCTACAACGACGATAGCCCGTTGGGAAGTCCCATAAATAGTCCTCTTCCAATACCTTCGCCGTCTTCTAATAATGTCTTCACTTTTCCAACTCAAGCTCAGGATTTTTCTCCTATTCTTTCCCCGACCATGGGTAGTCCACCTGGTGTATTTTCTCCAGGATTAGAATTAAACGAAGAGGATGAATTGGATGAAGACGAAAACCTGCCCCCAACTCCGCCGGATTCTTACGACGCACTGGCAAGCCGAAGGCGCCTTCCCGTGTTCAATAGGATCTCAGTTCCCGAATGAATTTGTAAAAAATTACGCCGCTACTTTAACGTTTATACACAAGATTTGTAATTAAGCTTTATAAGGACTGATCGAGTCAACAAAACTCTGGAAAATCAGTTGTTATTTCACATCAAATAGGGCACACAAGAATATATATATATATATAATTAACCATATTTTTATGATCGGGACTAAGCACAGATTTATATGCATTGAGCAGTTTCTATAGGTCCTAGAGCTATTTATCAAACGAAACAAAAGAGAAAATTATCGACGGAATTGTTGCTAGTGTTAAAACACGACATTCCTAAGTGTAAGTTTTTTTCGTACACGTTTTATATTTGGTCAATAATTACCCACTGTATATTGTAAAGCTGTGAATAATGGAAGCTAAAATTATATGGTCGTTTTTTTCAACATCTACCTCCCTCAATTCCTATCTATTTAATATATTATTTATTTAACTTATAATACCAAGCGATAAGTGCTATTTTGTTACCGAATTTCGAATCAAATCCATAATTTTTGTTACAGTTAGGTAGAAGAGAGTTAATTCGTTAATATATCTCATATTTACTTGAACGTAATTTAAACGTAGATAATTTATATTCGACTTTATAGGTTGGGAGTGTTGTTCGCACTGATTTTAAGAAAAAAGAAAACAAGTTTGTGAAGATAGGAACGGTGTTTTGGAAAGCAAGTTAATAAAGGTTCCTCTAAATTTTGTAAATCACGGTGTGATCAATTGGTTGTGTGGGGTTGTTTCGAAAAACAAAAAGGGGGCGTTTTGCTCATGATGTGAAGTATAGAAAACACTTTCCTTGTGTGCAATAACAACAGCAATGGATTTGGCGACAATGATGCCAGGCTCGCTTTTCCAAGATAAATCATTTGAAAGTTTCGGTTTACAAATTTTGCATGCGTGAAGCCCTCTGTTGATTTCATGCCAACAGTGGGGTTCCGAAAGCCCGATATCAAGTGCTACTCTGGGCGCTCGGCCAATCGTGTGGCGGCTGGCTTTTCTTAGCCTCAGGGGTTTCGCTTGAAATTCGAGAGGTTTCTAAGCAAAAAACGCTTATCGGTTACAGCAGGTCGAACTGCTGACAGACAACGAAATAACTTCGGCTTCATACAAGGGGCAGGCAGAAATTGAGGTTTTTGTTTTATCCTTCGCGTTTCATTTGTTGTTATAAAGTAAGCTATGCAGCACTTCCGTCGCCATTGATTAGACACCTCTCGTTTTCGCTTGTAGATTAGATGGTGTATTGCCGCAAACTACCCGCAAATAATAAATCACAGGAAGAAACGATTTGCCTAAATGCGTGCAGGTAGTTTGTCAGCAAAACAGCCGCTCTGAAGCCGTGCGTAAACCGCTGTTCTAGACTCCACTGATTTCGCAAACTTCTAACGTCATCTTTGCACCTCTAGGTGATTCCTTCACATGACATGGGTAAACCATTTGAAACCTGACCTGGCTTGCAATATTGGATTTCACAAAGATTGGAAAGTTTCACAGGGAATAGAAATAAAAGCAATTTACATAAATCGCCGTCAAAGGAAATTTTCAAAACAACTTTTGAAACTAGCTTAAGGCAAAATTCTCTCAATTATAAAAAAATCTGCATAAAATGAAAAAGGGGTCATTTAATTCGTTCAACTGTTTGTCCTTCACGTTACGGTGGCTAAGTTTTGTTATTGTTACTAAAAATACATTTATTTTCCACATTTCGCTTCTTTTAAAGTGCATTTAAGTACCAACGTTACAAAACTATTGTGGAAGTATTTTACCATCGCAACAAATGTAGGAACTTCAATTCAATTTCGTTTGAAAAGCTTGCGGAAGCACGATTTTGCGCAGGAATATACTGTCTCATTTCCGGTTTATTACGACTGTGGTTTTCCGGTCTGTGAGTTGTCACGTAGCCAAGGCATACAGAATTATTTCTGATAGGAATTATAAAACTGATTTACATAGACGTATATTTACTTTGTTTATTACAAAAAACACACAATCGCGCTTTTAAAGGATCTTTCGACGTTACATATATTGGAAAGGAAGAGAAATCACTGAAAACGCGAAAACACGCGCGCGGAAAATGGTATGATGATGTCAAAAAACTTTCTTAAACAAAGACTTATTTGAATTTCAAACACTTTTAAACTCTCAAAAGGTCCTGACTCCAATATTGTAGTGGTTTTGCTTGTTACCCGTGTCTTTTCATAGTTTTAAAAACCGTTTACTTATTTGTCCTTTCAAAACAACTGTGGAAGCCCATTTGTTTTGCACTTTACAATACTTCTTTAGAAAAGAACTTTCATATTTGTTTCGCGCTGATATCTCGTGAAGCTGTTCATGCATGTTTATTATTTTCTTGGATATTTAAGAGGGAGGAAAGAAAGTGTCTAGACACCCGTTACCGGTTCAGTTGAATTTTGAGTAATTTTAATATGAGTCAAAACTGAACTCTTTTATTACTGGTTGCAAATTTTTTTCCTGAAGATTACTTGAAGTCAGGAAAGGCTTCGAACTTATCTAATGCTCATTTAGTATTGGATGCACGAAACCAAGAAGCTCTAGAGAGCTAAATATAAACCTGAAGTCATTAATCGGAAGGTTTTTAACAAGCAGCGATCCGACACAAAAGCATGCGAGTGGTATTTTCAGTCTTACGGGACTGAGAGGCTAAAAGCGGTGGTTGGGCAGAGAGGGCGAGGGGAACTACTAGAGTGCGCAAACCCCCACTCAACTTATACTAAGCCTGATGCTACGAATTTTAAGGTTGAAAACTGAGTTAAGCCAGCAGAAAACAGCAAAGGGATTTTTGAATCTTATCAAGTTTCTATTTTGAATGCGGATCGAACCACGATTTTGGGCAGAAAAACTCAGGCCCTTACTTCGTTTTCTTGGACTTCTTGTTACCGGATCAGGTCGGATCTCTTCTGTCGAAAGATGCCCGTACCAAACGTTACTGCCGTGAATGTATTAATAAAGTATTACAATTACAAAACTCCCACTACGGAAGAAGAGTACTTAAAACATTAAATTATGCTTAACGTGAAAATATTTAATATTGTCCTTCAGTGTGGCACTTGCCCGAAAGAAAAATATTGGTCTAAATTAAAAAGCGTTCTTTTGTCGTAGTGCCATTGCTGTTAGAAATGCTTCTTCAATGATACACCTACTTATGTTAGCAAAGAGGACCAATCATTTTATGGCTTATGGGGTGTGTCCAGATCTGAGTAAAGATTGGACTTATTCCCTCCTACCGCAATACATACATTTCAAATCAAGGAATCTAGCCGATTACTACTAATAGCAATTGGCCAAAGTAATAACTGGTGGAGGGCGTGCTGGGGACCAGGACGGCTGACAAGCTAAGAGTGGACAATGAGAAAGACTGAGGTTATTTTTACGGTTGTCTGGATTAATCAGCATTCTGCCATTTGTCTTCTTTTGAGTTGATTCGACGATTGTGATCCCGTGATTTACGTGACAGAGATTCGGTTGCAGTTCGTTGCTGTTTGTCCAAGTGGTCCTTGAATTATCACGAGAGAAGATATATGATTGTCATCAGAGGTTTTAATACTCAGACAAATGGTTAAAGCTCTGTCCATGATTAGGTCTCGGAAAATCGCCAATGGCTTATTTGAAAACCAAGTGATATAACACTGGGGTTTGCTTCAGTTCCGTCAGAGATCTTTTCTTCTTCTGAGGCAAAATTCATTTGAAGTCTGGTTCTTTTTTGCAAGGAGGGTTTTCGATCGCATAACAAACTTTATAACCAAGAAACGCCCCAGTAGACAGAAGTAGACAATCAAGTTAATTTTCTACATACATAGCGATAGGAAACTGAGTACCGCCTCTAAATTGGTAGCTATTTTGCATTTATTGCACACTTTTAGTGAGCCATTCATCAAGTTGAGAGATTGGGATTAAAATCATGGCTGAAAATTAGCCAATATTGTGAAAAGACCCTCTATAAAGTCACGTAAATTACTTGATTAGGTGCTTACTCAACCCAACCCTAACGTCTTGCTTATTCTTCAGATTAAATAAGTGGCTGAAAAGTGGTTTAATGGCAGTTTAGTGATTTACCCCAAACCGATTATTTTAGCTGGTTGGTTCACGAAAATTGGCCTTCAACCTTCCAGATGTACCTGGGAGGTCCTTAATTGGCTTAACAGCATAGCAAGCGCATGCATGAAAAAAATAGGCGCGAAATAAAGCAAGGTGTGTGAAGAAAAGAGACATTTGGACCCCGCTCTTTTTTGCACCTACATACAATTCACGCCGTACGTAGACTGGCTGGTCCTGATTTCGAGTTCCTCATGCACCGACTACCTCACTAACTAGAGGTCCTGAGTTTGACTCCTTGCCCTTTATCTTTTTTGGCAACCAATAAGATACTCAGGAAAATTATATTTCAATTTTTCGGTTCATGCAGCATTACAAGAAATCAGTCCCAACTTTTCGTGGTGTAACCGGCATAGAAAGAATGGAACTTTGGATTTAACCAATTTTAACCATCGCTTAAAACGACAAGAGGAAGACATTCCTTCTCATGTTACCACACTGCAGTGGATTTTGAGCAATTTTCCCCAAAAAACTGTCAGACGTGATAATCTCATAGTTCACCTCTTTCTTACTCCGGCCTTAGCTAGATCCTTTCGGAATGATCCGGAATGTGTTTTCTAGTGTCCACTTTTGTATCAAGTTCAGACAACACTTCCGTTTGAAATAAAATATCTGGCCTCTGTCCCTTGATCCTTGATCATCTGAAGAGCTGAGATAAAGTGGCGGGAAGCAATTAAAAAACTTATAGCGGAAAGTGTTAATTTTTTTTTTTTAAGACACTGTCAGCTCTTGATTCCGCCTTTTCAAAACAGCTGACCCTCTGTCAAGTATAGCTGTTTCTTTAGTTCCATTTTGTTAGTCCCTGATTTGCCACAAGCTTCTTTGTAACATAAGGTCCATAAGGGTCGTGTTACCAAGAACTTTAAATGCCGTTACTTAACCA